TTTTCAGCATATGCTATTGCAAGAACAAATAGTCTAATCAGTGTTCGTAACCCGAACAGAACTGTCCCCACAAGCAGCATCCATTCACGAGTATGACAGTTACATGTAACATTAAAAAACCTAGAGTTACAAAGTCAAATCCTAATGTTTTTGTTCATATATTTATATTACAGGCACTTCTAATAAAATCTACTGCCAATCTAAGTTTTTGTGAAAGACTTTCAGATGTTTATGAAGCTATCTATTGAAATTACGTCAATTAATAAGATATTGTACTAAAAGTGTATTATACCGACATTGAAATGTGAATTGTACACAATATATAAACGGGATATTTACTATGATAATATTATTTATGAGCTCCCAATATTTAATATTCCCGATATTAAAACAGTGTTTATTGAAAAGTGAGATAAACAAATTTATTCGTTGTAGTATTTCTCTTCATTCCATTTCCCTATTACCGATAGGTATATGTTTACTCTCATCGATACATATAGTTGCGTGTGTTGCGTCGCACGTGTAATCCTGTGATTGGTGATTAAAGCAACTCAATTCAAGATAATATAGCGAGGCTTCGATTCGCTTAGTTACATCCTTGGTGTACCCTTTTGAATAGCGTCAATACGAGTAGGGGTAAGAGAAAATCGTCTTGATGTATTGCGTAATTAGAATATTTAATCTTAAGTGCTTGATTTTATTATTACAATCCTGAATTTGTCATCTATGTCATTTACATCTAGACTAATACATACAATCATACTCATGAATCAAGTGTTTGCAGTGTGCGAGGAATCGAACCCATGACCATTGAAAGTAGCGGTGTGCTAAACCATTAGACCACCGAGGCCGTCAATATATTATTTGGACTAAACCGTTATGGTTTTTATGTAATCTCTCTTTATTTAGTTTTAATTACGATATTTACTTTTTCGTTGAATTTGTGGATATGAATCTAACGAGAACAAACAGAATTCATTATGTTAACTATACTGAAAATAATGAAAATAATATTTTAATGAATATTATATATTATTTTCCGTCTTTGTAAAACGATATTACATTTACGATGTAATATAGTTTTACAAAGACGGAAAATAATATATAAATCAGATATATTCCAATGCCTATATTTGTAATGGAAATGTTAAATGAAAATAATGTCAATATGTAATTAAAACTCTTTATAAATTCCGTAAGTAATTACTTTTATGTGGAATAATAAATAGGTACCTTATTATAAATACTCAATGAAACAGCCTATATTCAAAGTTCCATGTTTCATAAAATATTATCTTGTAACTTCACAAGTTAATATATATTTCATTGAACTTAAAAACTTTGAAATGTCTTTTTCTAACTTTATTAATATCGTGGTTTATATCTAGATTTCTGTATTAGACAAACGCTAGATCTTTCCAGCCTCTATTGTTGTGGATTTCATTGTGTGAAAATGTATATAGTTGAACATTATGTGTCCTTGTATTTGGGAAAAACAAACGGAAAGAATAAAATTCATTTAGTCCTGTTAATTAATTCGTCCAGATCACACAGATGAAATTGTCTGGTATGTGTGGTAGTATCCCTTTCAAATAACACAATATCCCATCTTATTCATAATAATCTGAATGAATAGCTGTTTACATTATGTATTATTTTGATTTATGTATATTTTGTGTTATCAAAGTTTGTTAATAAAACTGTGTAACTATTTTGTTACGTACTAATTTTTTAGATATGTCCATTAAATAGCATTGTACATCTTGTAGATTTTTTTACTATACTGACAAAATCTCGCCAATGTATGTACAAAACAGGAATATTCACAAAAGTTACGGCGCACACGTAACCTAAGTGAAAAGTTAACATAACGCAAGAAACTCATTTCGAGTATTCCTATGAATTCGTGTTTCACCTTGACCTCACGTTGTCGGAACGGGCGGCAATGTTGTCACTTCGTTAACACCTATTGTTGATAAAGTTTTACGTTACGTTGTTCCGTCCACGTTAATTTGAAATGTCAGAAATTACTTGTTGATGGTAGTTACTAATTAGTTGGACAAAGTCCATATGAATACATATTTTTGTATCAAAACGGTCGGTACTGAGTTCCGAACTCACGAACTCACAACTAATATAACAATAACAATAAACATACTAGAGGAAGATTGTACATTGTATTTTAAGGGTGTAATTTTGCAATGAAATTATAGATTACGGATCTTAGTCCTCAGGAGTGGCTGCTAATATTCCTGGTCTGTACCAGTTCTAATAAATAGAGGTTGTCACTTACTAACACTCAGATAGATAAATATAGGTATTTCTGTTTTTAAAAAAATGTTCACAAGCGCGGTTTGGAGATTTCATATTCGAACGTGAGGTTGAAAATGGATCATTCTAAAGATTTTATGTCGTAGTAAAACAATAATTTACTTTGACAGAGCAATTTCTTGAACGGAGGACATAGGTAAGGTTCTAATAGAGAAGCGTACAAGATCTCGTGTAGCCCGATCACGTAGTGCGGTTGCTTAATCTATCAGACCATTCAAGACGTCGCGTCGGTGAACCGCGAGTTCTCATTTTACTAAAGCAAGGTCGAGCTGTATTATAGTAGGGTATTTCATATAACTTCATTCAAACTATGAGGTGAAGCAAAAAGCGTTTAATTCGACCTGAGGGTTTTGGATATTGGCTTTAATAGTTGGCAATGACGTTAATATGTGTATGCTGTTCGGATAAAGTCTCGCATATTTTTTTATACTGTTTTGATGATTATTTACAGTAAATGATAGTATATATTTTATGTGAAATAGGGAACAGTCCATCTCTTAAAAATATTTACTTTTACCTAAAAGACGATTAAATATATTTTTTTTTATTAAATTCGAAGAGTCATTTTTGAATATTTTAACACTCTTATCTTCGCACGTTGTTATTTAAAGAAAAAGTTGTTATAAAATTTTGTGTGCTAGCATTGGAATTGGAAATTCACCATAATTATATATATTTAATTAGAAGTTCACTAGACAAGTATTATTTGAACAATATGTATGATATATACCACCAAGAATATATTTTAAGAAACAAAAAATCTTATAAGTCCTCTTCACTTCCGGAGATTACTCTGCTTTTACATTCAGTCTCAGAATTCGTACTCTAATATTAAAGTAGCTTCTCTGCTTTAGATCCGAGTACGCTAAATTTGCATCTGTAAATGTATGCAAAGTAATGCTCTAAGTGACGTCACTGGCTATAAACCTAAAAGTATAATAGGTGCGTCAATGTTAATGAATTGTACGCTCCTGGCCTTTTATGTTTTAATGCTAAAAGATTTTGATTATACGAAAGTAAGGTAGATACGAACGGACGAAGTTTGAGCACTCTAGAAATCCAATTATCGATATTCTATTGACGTTATTAGGGACGTAGAGCTCCGTTATTTTTCGTGATGTATTTAACAGACGCTAAAGTAGGATTTAAGTATCAATAAATAAGAAATTCAACTCTCATATGTGGAACAAATATAATGCCAACGATATTCATTTTTTATTACAAGCATTTAACTAAACCTGAGTTAAATTTGATACTTTTGACAGAAAAGGATCAATTGAGTTAAAACATGATGTTATGAGTAATTAATTGCAGCTTATTATACGATAAGCGTTAATTAACTGCGTTTGTACACATCAATGTGTTACTATTTGTGGGAATCCATAATTTCACCCGCGACATTGTGTGCACTTGGTATGTAAATTCCACAAAGATAATATTTGGTGTACAGTTATCGTATATTCATTGATATAAAGAACTTAATAATATATACTGAATTGATCAGCATTCATTGACTATATATATGTATAATCAATATGTATATAGGTACGAGAGTTCTTTGCCAAACCTGTACAGATCGTCGATTTTTTTGTAATCCATACTTACAAAAATTACCAAAGTCCGTAGCTTTCTTTTGTTTCAATAATACAAATAAAAGAAACTTACTTGTATTTAACTGATTTCTGCTTTTACCAATCGAACTTTTGTAATCGACCTACTACATATAGAAATTTGTTATACAGATTATGTAGACAACTGCTGACAATAACACAATAGTTAATTGTAGATGGTTTGTCTGTGTCTTCATGCAACAAAATATTCTTGTGTAAAAATAAGGTCGTCGAAATAAACTTATCATCTCATATAAACTCTCAAAGGAGGTATTATATGAAGTTTGGTAGGAAATATAATACATATTTAATGTCTTTACGTGGGTATGTGAATAACATGTCACTTTGTTTAATTTTGATAATGGCTACGAGGGGCGTGCCCTTATATACATAAGCGAGATAGCTGAGCATCGGTCCTTTAAGTCCTCAAGGGCGTGGAAGGACGTTCAGAACACCACCCTCGTGTCTATAGGCGGTTAAATTACTCGTGTTTGTTACGGTCCGTGGCTTCTCAGCTTTTGTTTCACTGTATGAGTTAGATGACACATTAATGACTACTTTATGTCTTTATGATGTTTGGTATATAAAACTTACAAGTGCCGGTTTGGTTAGTAGCCTTGGACCAAATCACTCTTTGTTCTGATGGGCAATTTGTGTTGCGGTTACGATATAAAAATGTATCTCTACTGTTTTCTCACAGTACGTACAAAATACATTTTTTTATATTACATCCATTTATCCAAATTTGTAATGTTAATCGAGCTATTTTAAATACAGAAATGATGGCAGTTATTAAAAGAATTATGTCCATTAATTCGCGCACTATTTATATGTACAATCTTTAAGCTGGAAAAGGACGTATGACCCTAAATAATGAAGTTACGATCTGTATTAATTTTTAATTGCTCAATGAATATACTTTTTGATTCTTCGTATTTCATAGCAATGAAGAGAAAATGAATTAAATGAAAAACATGTAACGTATATTACTACTTTGTATATTTTTAAAAATATGTTATGTCTATTGTATTGTAAGAACCTTAACAAGACAAAATACAGATATGTAATCACGGAGCTACTTCAGAGTGACCTACACAAGATCATCGTCTCGCCGCAACATCTATCCGCCGACCACATCAAAGTCTTCCTCTACCAAATACTAAGAGGTGAGTGTATTTTAAATATTACATATATATGTTTGATTACAGGACAATAAGGTAATATTTATTGACAGATATCAAATATATTACCATGCTATGTACTATAATTGCTTATTTATACGCAATCTCTATATAAGAGGACGTTTGCCCATTATTATCACGGTACCATTTTTACTATAATTTTACGTGTAATTCGAGTATTTTTTCTACTGCATTGGTTATTTTGAATTTTTTTTTTATGTATCTGGAATAAATGCAGTTGTAATTACTAATATATATAATAAACCAAGTACGTACATAATTATGTATAAAATGACTCTGTGTCGACACTCAATAACAATACCATTATGCTCTGGCAGGTGTTAGTATTTATCTATCTATATAATAGCAGAAGTTAATATATTAGTATCACATTTCAGTTCATACTAGTCCTTTTAAATATATATCTACGTACTGAAACGGTAAACCTATCGTCAAACTTTTGTTAATGAAAGAAGAGACTACAAGTTACTGTTACTGGTGTGGGTAACACCCAAGAGATTTACCCTAAGACTTGACAAACAGAGGTTGATTGTGGCGAACTGGACTCAACGCCGATAAATTCGAGTTTAAAACAAACTGCAGCTCCTCGAGACCGGCGCCCCATGCCACAACAAGACGACAGCGATGCGCCTACCATAAATCAATTAAAACTTTGCAAGTTTACAAAACATCACTACAACTGCAACACACCTGAATAACTGACTCTTCATTACTTATTTAAGCTCGACTTTCCACTTAGTGCTATATAGAGACGCATTAAAAAACTTAACTATTTGACTATTTATGCTAATGTAATCTATTTTAGTGAAAAGGACCATGCCAGTCTCAGCCGCCCCGTCTCTCGATTTTGTATTATTAATTTGCACAATTATTTGAGCAGTTCCATGAGATTTCCCGGGAGTGAAACGTCCGGAGGGGATCTAGAAAAATGCGCTCGTTAAGCCCCCAGAGCTTGCCGGTTTTAATTAAAAACTTTAAAGTTGCATCTCCTTGATGGCTCCGCTTCGTGATAGAATAGACTACGTGTCTAACAACGGTATTGGTGGTTAAACAAAGATGTGGCAACTATTAAATTTAATACCTTGGGTATGGGGTATCTAGGTACTTACATGTATATATATGTACATTGTTAAGTAAGGTTCTAAGGTTAAATCTATCATTGACTTGCAGTATGTGTTGATAGTACGATATACGAACATACAGCTGATACCAAGCATTTGAAGTGTCTGGAATATGACCGACTTCACACCCACTTTGTGCAAGGCGATCGCTGCAATCATATTTTCTTTAACAACCATTCTTTATTGTAATTTGATAATTAACATGAAAAAATATAGCGCAAAATTGAAAGAAGTTTTTAAAATAATATACGTGTTCCAATTTCAAAATAATTAAAATGTTGAAAAAAAGAAAAGTTTTTATGTAACAGATTTTATGGCCAGACTAGTTATAATTAACATTTTATAAATGGACATAGAGAATACTGTGCTACAAGTATTCTGAAACATTTCATAAAATGCGCATTTGGCCGATATTAATTATAAACAGTGTTGTGTCAACTAGCTGTTTATAGAATGCAAGTTAGTTGAATGCTAATATTTCTCACCAACTATTGATAAACTAGTGCTGCAGTTATTAACTAACTTCGGCTCTTTAACGACGAAAGCGAGAGGGAACATTTATTTTATTAACTCCATTGCAAGTACAAATGATTGGTTTCTATTTTTATTCTCTTTCTTTATTTATTTATAACTATTCAAATACTTAATTATATATACGGTTATTTATATAATGTTATTGTTTTTTTTTTTCAAGTAGAATGTATGGGAAATTTAGATTCTGATTTTACCTTCAGATTGTTTCATATCGGATGAATGGTTGCATTACACATGCAAATACAGAACAGAAATATGTCGTATATTTCTATGTAATTAAAAATAATTTATCTAGCAAAAGGGAGACCGTTTGCGAGTGGAGACTGAGCGTCGGCGGCATAACGAACCGAATTATGGAAATACGGCGCGGGCTCGTCGACGAGCAAGACTATAATATTATTTATGTGCGAGCTTTTTTCGTTCACCAAATCACCTCCACAACCCGTGTAAGCTACTAGGGATTTTCTCTGATAAATGGCAAGACCGTTTTGTTACCTTTCAGCCAATTTTTCGGTTGCAAAAACTCGAATACAATCACTAATCTGATATAAAGTTAATACCTTTATGATATTATGTATTAACAGTAACAGCCTTAGATATATCCAGAGTGTTATCAAGTCTGAAACTACGCAGTTGTTGCAAATGTGTCCGTAAATACACTTAAAAATCATCCAGAGCAATACAAATGCTTTGTTGTATGGAAATCGAGCCCGCAATCATCGTAGGGTGAAACAGGGGGCTGAGCCGCTGTGCTTTCAAAGCCTCTTTATAACTTAATATCGATTTCATATAAACGTAGTGTGTGACTTTGTAAGTACAGTTATGGATCAAAGCAACTTGGAGTTGAATAATAGAAAGGATGGGCTTAAGGGAAAACCGCAAAGCTAGAAACCTACCGATGTTGTTATCTCAAACGCATCACTAATGGAATTTACTCCGAGGTTTGTCGTCATCTGTAGGATAGGACCCTTCGTAATGCGCGAAGAGTGCTCGAGGCCCGGGAGGATGTAACGAACTTTATAGATATTTGTAGAAGCGTAATCCTCTAAAATTAACTCGAATATGTCAGAAGGAGGCTGGAAATACACGGAGCTATACTTTATAACAGGAAGTGTATCTATACGGACGATCTGCGTTCACATGTTTCATAAAATCCCCACCTGTCAAGAGCGTGAGCCCATATTCATCTGAGGGCCTCGGTACAATACCAAGAAAGATTGGCCGTTATGACAGGGGTTGTAATATCTTATAAGGATGAAAATATGTAAAATAGTTTTGTCAAATAAATAACCTAATAAGCTATTTGTTTACACTATATTTACATCACTATCAGTCAGACTTTTCTTAGTGTTTTCATTAAGAATGCAATTTTTCGAGTTCTTTTCATGAAATACTCGTAGTTGTTATGCAGCGCATAATTTTATCCGTTCATTGTCCTTGTTTTGTTTTTAAATAATTGTTAAATCAAACATTCGTTTTGCGTTGTAACGTTTCTTTCAATCGCCGGTGTGATTATGCAATTTACTATAATTAATACAAAACTGATTATATTGAATGTATTCTTGATTTGGACATGATAAAGAATATATTTCTCATTGAAATTTCATATAAGCGTTTCGTTTGTATTTTTAATTTTCACGCTCCATTTCCGTTGGATTCCTTTAAGAACCTTTTGTTGTTGTTTTATATTTTAGTGTTTGAGAGTAATGGTTGCTTTAACGGTGCAAGGCTTCATTCAGGGCGTTAATTGTGAAAGCAGCTGCATCTGCTGTTAGGTCGACCGTGAGATCCGACGCACGCGTATGCCCATTGCAGTACCCGCATCACTTTATTTGTCCAACGCTACTCGTACTGTACATAAGCAAACACTGTTTTATGGAGCAGTTTACAGTTACCATTGTCTGTATGGGAATGTTGTACAAACATATCTGTATTGCTCATTATAAGATATCGATCAAGGCGATCGAGATTCTAGGTTTGTCGATACAGGTCTGTACGCGTCATGATAACGGATTGATTGTAGTGAGTCTTGGGTATGTGGTACCGGTGCATTGTACCTCGGTGTAGGACGCTAGGAGCAAGGACTATAAGCGAACGTTGCGGTCGGATGCGCGCGCGCACCGGACGACGACCTGCCTAGCTAATGGACCCGTTGCAATAAACAGCTTTTACGTGCCACTATTCTCGCCAGGGTGTTATGTTACGTACCACACCTGTCAGTTGTCTTGAAAACCATTTATAAAATGTTCATTTTGTTTAAAAATAATATTTTTAATGACAGATATATTATCATTTCCATCTAAAAGCCTTTACAGTTTGTACTGAATTTTTGCATTACTCAGTTTAAAAGTTTGTCGTAGGTTATTTTTGTGGTCCAAATCACTTGTTGGTAAAATTTAGGCCGAGTTAGGACATCGTATACGATTTGTATTCATTAACTTTCATCTCTTGCGAAATATAATCATTGAAACACCATCTAACGAAGTTAAATTAGACGCAGATTCTTCAGGTAGGCATTATATCATTTTGTCATAAAACTCAGTTGAATTGGGTAGAGGTGAAAACTGCCGTACACCCGCTGGGAAATTAAACTCGTCGCGAGCCTGCGGGGCGTTGTTAATTTGTTGTGACGTCACAGGCGAGTCTGGGAGGCGTCAATCTCCTTACTTTGTATACCGCAAATGCTTAAAGTGTTTTGCGTTCCCGACAGAATTGCTCAGATCTAGTATGTCTACCACACATATGGAGTTAAATGGATGTGGCAAGTTCATTCTCGCATACTTTGCATGCATGCGTGATTGCGTGATAATTTAGTTTAATGTTCTGATATAGGAGGTTCTCTTTAAAGTTTATTTACAAAAAAAATTGGAAGACTGATAAGTACATTGTTGATATAACAGGCCGATAATATACATGTAATTGTTAGTGAAAATCGTAGTGATAAGCCTACTGACCTGACTTCATCATCATATCGTATTCTACTGATACCAGCATATAGAGTTACCGCTGGTGGGTGCACCATTCCATTATTATCCTGTTTGTTTAGTTTTGGAAGAGATTATTTCCTATTAATATTGTAAACTCGAAATTTTGTATGTTTATTACTTAAAAGTTAGATTATAGTGACAGTTAGTACAAAGGTAATTCATATCGTAAATTAGTACAGAATATCTTTTTTTAGGGTCCCTTATATCTGGGCGCAGACGGAGACGCAAGATACAGTAATGAAATAATTAGTTTAATTACACGTTGAATTTTCATGAGAGTTGCGTCGTCTATCATTATCAGTCTGTGATGACTTCTGAACCGTTCCGAAAATGATAGGACAGCAAACGCTCTACTATATCGTTTTGTTATTAACAGCTGACGCGATGAACTTCGTACCGCGTAACAGTCTATGAATGGTACATTTTCGTGACGTAAATACAAACAGGATAACAGATTGACCGACTGATCTGAAATTATTGGGCCAATTGATTTGACAATTCTGATTTATTGTGTACATTTTGACTCGAGTTTTGTTATGAATTACAAAATATAATAATAATAATTTTGGTCCGAGATTTTTCCAATATTTTATTTGTGTACAATTCTGTTATTCGGGGCGAAGACGAATCTAATAAATGAGAAATTAAAAAAATGGTTCAGCCGTTATTGAGTTTATATAAATGGTGTAATTAACCTGAATTTGTTTTTTCTTTGTATGTATTTTATATATACATATATATATATGTTCCGACATGAACCGCACCGAACCATCAAGCCTGTACAAATAAACGTACTGTATTGTAATATAGTCGTATGAATCAATTTGAATAGAGATAAAAGCGGTGGTGTTTCACATGGAAAAGTTTACATTTAGCTCCCATTCAGACTGATGTTTTTAATACACTAAAATATACGTATTTTTAATTAAATATGATAGTCGATGGAATACTTTTTTTTGTAGATAAATATTGGATAAATGTGTTATTACTGCTTTTTGTATCCAGCTTATTTTAAAAGAGGATAAAAACGCATTATATCATTGCACTAGAAGATCTCGACACGAAATATTACTCGAATATATATTTAAATTTTAACTCCTTTAAAAGATGAATTAAATAAAGTATGTTGATAATTGTACTTCGCTTTCAAACAATTTTTCTAAATTTTGTCTTACTAAATACCATTAATTCTTTATAGTTATTATGACTAGGAGGAAGCAAATCGTGATAATATTTTTTTTTTTCTAACATCTAATGATGCAACTCGAATGGGAATTAATCCCATTCATCATCATCATCATCAGCCCATAATCAGTATAATCCCATTCAACCATATTAATTCGTATCGTAGTACAAATTGAAGTAAAAATAATCTAAACGATGTTAATATGGGTACATAAGCCGTAAGTCTATTTTAGAATATAATTCCTTAACTTTCCTTAACATATTCCAGAAATAAGTCAATTATATTGATACGCACCCTTCGCACATTCATTTGTAAATTGTTGTTCATTTTTAGCAAAATTTTTCACCATTAAGTAATGAATGAAAGCTTTTTTACATTTACAAACCAAACACTTATCGCAATCTGAATTAACTTTTAGCTTTTATATATTTTTTATTTGTATTCCAATATAAAATTATTATAGAAACATATTTTTAACTGGTTTCTATTTGCGTGAATATTATTGATGTAGCCTATATTCTTTTTAATCTCAAATGCTAAGTATGTTGCTAGATATATAGTATACAAAATTGCATGATGCTTCGGGTAGCCGTTGAAACATGAAAGCGTGACAAACAAACTGACAGACTTACATTCGTAATTGTACCTAATATAAACTTGGACAAGCTCTCTGCTCTTACGTTTGATATTCAGAATAAGTTAGAAATTGCTTACCTGAAGTGATTATAATCTTAACCTAATCTTGATATTGAATATTATAAACGCGAGAGTTTGTGAGTATGGATGTTTGTTACTCTTTCATGCAAAAATTTCATCCGTCCTAATCCACGAATTTCGATGAAAATTCACGAAAAATTACTGAACGGAATTTGATGAAACTTAACAGTAATATAGCTTATACATCAGAATTACATATGGGCTATAAATTTCACTCGGATGAAACCGCGGGCACAGCTAGTATATGATAATCAATGTAGTTTTAAAGTACTCGTATAAAACAGGACATAGTATATTTATTACAAGTAAACTAAGTCATCCAGAATAGTTAGGGTTAGTGTACCACTAACGTTCGGCTTTGATCGTTTCTTGACCAACAATGCATAAATAATTCCCACATTATAGCTACGTATCATGTTCAGCTTCGGTGCTAACAGCCTTTTCCGATACCTTTTTATTTTTTGTATAGATATTTTTATAAAGTATATTAAATCCTAGAACAGGGCTGCCAATATTTAGCCTTAACTCTTTCCATAGTATTTTGACCGTTTCTTTATAAAATTGTAAAGTACCTACATGAAAGCGTCATCGTAACGAAGGACATAAATCTTATACTTGTACAAGTATTCTCGTGCTGTATACCTGTCCTAGAGTTAAGATTTATATGGTTATGTCTACATCTGCAAATTTTGATGTTAAATTTTTTTTTCAGTATAAATTTTTAAATAAATTCTGTATTTCAAATTTTACCAAAATTGATAAAATACCCTTTCTTTCCAGTTGTCACGTAAATTGAGAATTAATTACCAATACACTATGTAATGAAAATGTTCAAATCTGATCTGAAGCTTGTTTAAGTGACACGGTTGTATTTTTAATTGTGTGTATTTTAAACACACATTAAATGAGATCAAAAACAATTTATTGATGTAGGACATTTTAGCCTCTTATGAACATTATTTTTTTTGTATTAATATCAATATACAGTTGCAATTGAGAAGAACTGGCAAGAAACTCAACTGAATTTCTTTTTTGTTTAAAAGATTTATTTGCTATGTCTATATATGAAAATGCCGTGCATGAACAATTATTGCCATGCACATTGGTCATTCAGGTAAACGTTTAGAAATTAAAAAAATATGTATGAAACATTTAACAGTTGCAGCTACGAACCATCCAATCTAACACGATTTATATTAGCAACTGTCAAAGAATTGTGTCTATTTTGCCTGCTACGAATTGCTAAAGGAATTTATTTAAATCATTCAATTCCGTGCGGAGAAAATATATTACCTGCTATCTGTTCGGTTTCGTTTCACTGTGCCCCTTTTTAGTTCGGTACCCGTATTCAGAAACTTCAATCTATAGCCTCTGGCTTTTAAAAGCTGAAAGAACGGTCTAAAGCTGAAAGATGAACAGTTTCTCTTAACCGATCGTTCAATATGAGATTTTTACTACGATAAATATATTTCGGAGAATTTTCCTCGTTTGCACATAGTTTCCAAGCTATTCCATTTTTTATTTCATTTTAATGCATATTAAGTAGCTATTCTACATAAAATTTGTATAAAAATGGATGTTCGGTGTTATCACGGGGATTACATACCTATATTAGAATGAAAGTTTTTCTGTGAGTGCTTATCCTGGAAAGTTATATAGAAATACGATAACCATGATCAATGCTATCAATAATTTCATATCACATTTTGCCATTTGATTATTTATCTAGTACCAACTTCAACTATTATGGATTGCTCCTTTTTGAATAATTTAATTTTATGGTATGTACAAATAAATCATGTTATTATTATTTTAATCTACTAAATAACAAACGTATTTCACATTTTTTTTTATTTAATTGTTAAGATTGTGTTCGAATGTAAGAATCTTTTTGAATAGTCGTATATAAAAGTGTTTTTTTGTATTTAAATATTTGCTATTTAAAACTGGGACGCAATTGACAGATTTATTATGATACATATTATATTCATATTTTAACAGTTACATATTTCTGAATAATCGATACGTTTTGCCTGAAAAAGTTTGTATCAGTGCAAAGCCAGTAGCTAGGAATTAATCAAGATAAGTAAATTTTGTTCTTGCAAGTCATGTTTATAATATTTGCCGGTAACTTCTCGTTTTTCGTTACATAGACATGTTGGTTTTAATTTTGGTTACATACGTAAATAATTTATTTATTTTACTCATTATTGTATCCGTCATGCCTACCATCAGCGTAGCGTCATACTTATTATTTATATAAATTACAAAAATATAAATATTATTTCTACATAACCCACAGAGCGCGAGTCCGATTCACACTTGACCCATTTATATTTTTAAAGACTTCATTCTAGAAGTATATAGTTTTATACTCGTAAAATTCATGAAATTCGCAAGTCTTTGAAAAACTTGTAGCAAGTTGACGGTACCTAACTACAATAAAAGACCACTCAAGAAACTTGTTTTAATACTAAAGTTACAAAGTTCAAGGTTCTTTTTATAGGTATCCCACCGTGGATTTTAATACTACGTAACAATCTTTTGATAAAATAATCTCAAGTTTTCCCTTGACAGACTGCTTTTCTTTTTATATTTGTATATGTAATAGATTTTTATGTTATTATAATATGTATAAGGAATCATTATTATAGTTGTCTCGATCTACGGTCTATTGATTAAATACGGTCTATTAATTGAATTAATCAATAGGATTCAATCAGTAGGATTTTAATAAAAAAATGTGTTTATTTTATCATTACTATATTTTCCATTCGTATAATAAAAGTATTTAATATCCGTTGGATGTATATTGATGTATATGGATGTATTTTAAATCCAATTCAATAAGCTAGATTATTTAAAGAGAAATTTGTGTGGAAACCTATATAAACCGCCAAGCAGCTTTCATTGTATGTTATATTTAGGTAGAAGGGTAAGATAAGTTAACGAACTTATAGAATCAGAGGTGTAACACCTTAATTGTCTGGAGTGGTATCACGGGCACACGTCACATGACAACGTGTTACCTCAGTGCTGTTCATGTATACATAAAGGCGGCGGTTACTAATTACCATCAGATGACATTTGTTAGCCTTCCAATTACATTAAAAAAACTGTAATACTACTTTTAATTTCAGGTTTGAAATACCTTCACTCAGCTCGAATCCTTCACCGGGATATCAAACCGGGTAACTTGCTGGTGAACAGCAACTGTGTGCTGAAGATATGCGACTTCGGACTGGCGCGCGTCGAGGAACCTGATGCTAGCAAGAACATGACGCAAGAGGTCGTTACACAGTACTACAGGTAACAAAATTTCGTTTATTTACCAAATATTGAAGTACATATACAGTTACATTTTAATGCTACTTGAATCTATTAGGCTCCTATGTGGTATTCCGCAGTTGATCCTTGATGAAATTCCACATAATTCTACTCTATTCTGCATAATTAAGTTTCTACATGGAAGCGCGTACTACATACGAGTAGTATCATTCCTTACTCTCTCTATATGGGAGTGCGTGTCACTTAGTATAATTATATATACTATAAAAATAACATTTAGATGTCAAAATATAAACATATACAGAAAATATTTATTACCCGTTTATTTATCACGACAAATTTCCAAAAAATTATTTCAGCTGTTTCATAAAAAAATGCAAACTCGTGAAATATGGAAGATATAATTATTCATATTTAAAAGAATTGCTACTATTTTGTGTAAGCACTAATAAATATTTAGATGCAGTGTACAACGCTAAACAGCGTCAATATTAAAAAAAATTGGGTATTGGAGAAACAGGTTTTCACCGGTTTGAATATCCAATTACCCTCCGGTTTGAACCGGCGCAAACCACTAGTCTGTCATTGTTATCAATCTTAATTCTTTTGGCTATTTACTCAGATGCGTTATATTCACATAATTATTTTAGTAGAAACCGTAGGCATTGTTGCATTTAACTATTATAATACTTGCTTTGGAAAGAGTAGAACAATCGATTTTATCAAATGAACAATGGTGGAGTTTGAAAACATTAGATTACCATAGAATAGATATTTGATTAAAATTGTAGTTCCTTTCATAATAATACATTCAATGTTCTATTTAAATTGAATGCAATAAAATACCTAATCGTTTAGAGAATTGGATTTATGATTTTTTTGAATGTTATTCAGCTTTATTATTTTTTTAACTGGCATGGCAAACAAGCTGTTGGTTCACTCGGTGTAGTGGAAGCTAGTCGTTACTGACATCACTGACGTCTCTAATACCACGAATTCATTGCGGTTCCGTAGGACTAAGATATGATAACTCCACTGTCTAACAGAAACGGAATTATGGGTGAAATAAATAAGACAGAAAACTTGACTTGGTTCATTTTGGGGTAGGCAAAAACAAACTGTCAACCAAGTATAGGTCGGGTGATACGTCCCTATACCTGAGACCGGATGACCGGCAAAAATTCAAGTAATAAAGAAAAAACAAGCAGCTTTTTATGCTGTAAGTGTCGATATTTACACTTCCAATGCTAAACTATTGGGAAAAGTATAAAGTATTTTAAACACTGCTCCGGGGTTGCCGTAGTAATGTACGGCCTGTGCCCTCGCATTTCGAATGTACAATCGTCGGTAGCGATTAAAAACGAGAAAACATTTACTCGAGCATTTACGACAGTTCTGTTCGATTTAATTTCTATACGTCCTAATATTTTAACACAATTAACATTGACAACAATGCAATTAACTATTCGTGTACTATAGGATGCTAGTTAGAATCTAAAGTGTTTCATTGAATCTTTGATAACCTCGGTGGTCCAGCGGTTAATTGTTTGATTTTCGATAGTCGCGTATGCGATTATTAACCCATAATACTATATTATTATTACATTGAATCTTTGATTCATATAAAACAAAGTTGAATCCGTAATTCAAAGTGATCATCAGGATCATTATTTCCAAATGAGGCTTATACCTTCCACACTTGCATAAAAAATGTAGGCACTGTATGGATGGTCGCCAATGCGCGCTCTTTACTCCATTTATGAGTAAGTACTTAGTATAGTAATTTGAAGTACGACACATAATTTTTCTTTGTTATACAAGTTAGAATAATACGCGACGATCCGCCTGATAGACCTGTCAACAGCACCATTGACATCATAATACCATTTCTAAAGACCTCGGCGTATTCCCACCATACTAACTATATTCAGTAATTGTTATAATATGCTAAAATATAAATCTTAATTCTGAAAAAGTAGTTATGAATGATAATTGAAAACATCATTAGTGCAGCTTGAAAATTGAATATCATTTGAAAAAAAATATGTTTATATCTCGTAAAACAAATGTAATACAAACAAAGTTGGTTAAGGATCCTTGAATTACATATAGACTAACAAAGTTCTTCCTGAATATGGCGGAAAACGCATGATGTATACGTTATATTCGCGTGTTTTAGTATTTCCGTCCTATTCTATATTTCTCCATATAATGTTATTTACTAGACACGCAATCAACAATGACCTATTGATGTATGATAAAGGAATTGGCTAGTAGCTACATAATTAATTTACACATATATGTTTAAATAAACTAATAATGTATATTGGACGTATTATTTAATGAATAAACATAAAAATGTTAACCAAATATTATATTTTTTCTTTTGTAGACAGTTGCGTTGTCATGTTGCATGGCGGCAGCGTTTTATTAACTTCCGGTGGTTGAGGGTTCAATTCCTCGCAAGGTGCAAACATTTGTATTCATAAGTATGACTGTTTGTATCGGTCTGTGTGTTTTCTATGCATATTATATATGTATTTACAAAATCTACGTATTTATATCAGTTGTCTAGTACTAATAACAGAACTTGTGCTTGCAGTGGGACTAGATGTCGCTGTGTTAATTGTCCAGGGTTGTTTACCTATTATTTATTAAAAACCCACGTAACAGTACAGTATAATTTTAAAATTCCTTATTTTTTTATAATACTCTGATATATTTCTGGAATATCTGGGGATTGTTGTTTTTGATTTATATTATAGTACATGGAAATGGCTAACTGTCGGGCCACTTTATACATTAGGGAATATCTACTTTTTAAATTTGACCATTTCATTATTAGTACGTACAATTAGGAACAATCACGGGATTTTATCTTACACATATTGTTATGCAGACCCTGAATCACGTGACCAAATCAAATAGTTTTCTTTTATCTAACTAATCGATCACGCAACAGCCTTGATAGATATATACTTTAATTATGTAAGCTTGCCTAATTCAGTTGTTTCTGTTTCATATTCTTTGTTATGAATTGAATATTGATTTCAAGGCGAGTAAACAGGCAGGTAAATTGCTAATAATCAACACGACTGTGAGTATGTATGATGCACTTATACGAAAGTGCCTTATGCTATAACTATACAAGTACCTATTTGCCATTTCCTTCATAGAATATTTAAATATATACAATAACATATTCATCAGACAAAATATACATTTGTATTGTGTATGGGATATGTTATCATATATATTGCTTTTAGTGAATAGATACCGTGTTCTTAGGCGTATCGTGTGAGGCGGGTCACTAGTTTTCCGTACACAGAGCCAACTGTAGAGTTTTCAGTCTTGAATCTTGCAATTACAGAGCTCCTGAGATTTTAATGGGCGCGAATCACTATACAGCGGCTGTAGATGTATGGTCAGTGGGCTGCATATTCGGAGAGTTGCTCGGCAGGCGTATACTCTTCCAGGCTCAAAGCCCTGTGCAACAGGTAAGTGTTGATTTCAGGCAAGAAGGAATCGTTTTTAACAAATATTCATTACCTTTACACTTTGACTTTGGGTAATTTTGACATTACACATTTATTGTCACTGAAATTACCAACACTGACGATTAACCTGATGAAAAGTTATTATTATGAACAGTACCATGGACATCACAGAATTCACTATTTATGTATTATAACAATACAAAAACGGTAAATTAGAGGGCTACATAGTATTCGCTTCTGATCTTGTAATTTGACTGTGGTATTAACCTTGAAACATGGCTTGACAAATTTTCTGTTGATAGTATATAAAGATCATGTCTTGGTTAAGTATTGTATGTTATTAATTTATAGATGTTTATACTAACGAGTGGTCGTCGAAATTCAAGCATAATTAATTTAATAATTAGTAAGATTATAGACAAACAATATAGATCTATTATCAATTTGACCACAGACTTTAATAGAGTATATTTGCATCTCTTTATAAACTATAAGTGTGCAAAAATCATATGTCTCTGTCCGGGCAATTTTCGTAAAAAGGGATACAAAGTTTTTGCTTCATGTATTAATCTCTATTAGTCTAAGTTATTTATTACTAAAGGGACTGCTATTCCTATTCCAGCTGGAACTGATCACGGAGTTACTGGGCACGCCGTCGCTGGAGGACATGCGGCACGCGTGTGCGGGCGCGCGCGCTCACATGCTGCGTCGCGCGCCGCGCCCGCCCGCACTCGCAGCTCTCTACACGCTCTCCGTACAGGCTACACACGAGGCTGTGCATCTACTCGCACAGGTATCTCGCTCCCACACATCACTTGTTATATTCTACACTCTTTTTCCTCCACTAGTCACGCTCAACTATATGCGCAGCTAGCGCATCTACTCACATTTACATACATTTCCGCGACATCTATTCCTTCTCTTATATCTGTTATCTTTATGTTCTCCACTCTTCTCTATCTACGGTCTGTATCAGCTCGGCAGCCGAGCCTCGTCTATGCATCATCTACTATAGTTACTTCCCAGACAAATGTACTATATACGGACGAATAAAAATGAAATTTGGTGCTATATAGTTATCTATGTTATTTTACGATATGAATATGTACCAATCTAGAGATTAACACGTAAATAGTTCTTACCAGAATTCTGGATTAGCATTGTATTTCAAAATTATTAAAAAACTGTTCCAAAGCGCTAATATCATATATAACTCAAATTCTCGGTAACTTAAATTTGAATGCAGGTACTGTTTAATATTGAAATGTTCCAGCGTAAATAGGTTTCATCTAAATATCGTGTCGGATTGACGCCTTACAACCGCAAATTGAATCGATTGAAAGCGCTGTAATTACAAAACTTCGCGCCTCCACACGTCCTTTAATTTACCACGTGTAACATAATCGTATATGGAAATACAAACATTATAATATGACAAGCTTTTTGTGACTTTATCCGTGTACATTAATCACATATCGCTCGTCAGTTGATGGTATTACTTGTGAAGTATTATATTATTTATACTTTATTGAGTATACGGCACAGTACAGTTTTATCTGATAGTATTTTTTTACGAGCAAAATCGAAGCCAAAATCAATTAGTCATACATTTTGGGCCATTTATGCAAGGCATAATTTTTTATTATCGTCCAGTTCGAGTAGCTACTTCAGTTGAGAAGAACTGGCAACAAACTCAATACATTTCATATACATTTTTTTATGATGAAACCTTTTGGAAGTTGTCTTAGAAATGCTTGAATGTTGTCCGTTGTTGATTAAGTATCCTTGATTAAGTCTTCTATCTTGAATCTAGATTAAAAGACAACAAATTCATTAGTCCACATTACTAATAATCCCATTCGCCCCAAGTCAGCGAATTTATTGCGTATACACAATAGATACAAAATTGAATTGAAATGAATCATGTTGAAATTTATAGAACTAGGAAAAGATACAAGGATTCGCTTGTTTGATTAAAATCCGTTCTAACCGTGGACCGGACTCCCACGTTTCAGATGCTGGTGTTCGACCCGACGAAGCGTATCTCCGTGGTGGACGCGCTGGCTCATCCGTACCTTGAGGAAGGTCGGCTTCGCTACCACTCGTGTATGTGCAAGTGCTGCTATAGCGCGCCGCCCGCCGCTCGCCACTACTCCCCCGACCTGGAGCCCGTCGCCACGCATCCCTTCCACGACGCCTGGGAGAGGAAGCTCACCTCCGTGCACCAGGTCAAAGGTACAGCCAACGAGGAACAACAACCTATTACGGGTCCGCAACGCGCACGGGTCACCCTTGGTGTTTTAGACGTCTAGAGCATGGGACGGGAAAAAAATACATCCTCAGGGGTCTAGGATAGTCGCGGGTTCGATTCCTCGCGAGGTTTTATTAATTTATCACATAGATAATTTTATAAAAATAATTATGTATTTCCTCTCGTTGTCGGTTTTAATGTCATTAAATTGTGATAAAAATTTTTAAAATCTTAAGTCGACTCGTATTATTTTCTATTTATAATCTAAATTGAACGAAATTAAAACCAAAATGTGCATATCAAATCCGCAGAGGAGATCCACAAGTTCATAGCTGAACAGCTGCAAACGTCGCGGGTGCCGCTTTGCATCAACCCGCAGTCCGCGGCGTTCAAGAGCTTCGCAAGGTAAGGCGCCGCGACCGACAAACAACCGCAACCAACCGCAACCAACCGACACTAGGTGATTTCTTTGCGATACGTAACATAAAGCTGCCCATACACGATACGGGACCGCTGACGAGTCGAGCCGCGCAAGCATACGCGTGTACTAAAGCGTTTATAAGTATAAACGTACTTATGTTTATATTAATAAAGTCTTTGATGATAATTGAAAGATACAGTTGAAACATGTTATAAAAATTGAACACCATGCTTTGCTCTTATTGGACGTATGGATTATATTAATATACCTATATATTACATCATATATCTCATATATCACATATCTTAAATTGTACATATATCGTCCAGTGTTCTAAGCAGTGGATAATATTTTTATCATGATTTACAAATATAAAATTACATTTTACGGTTTTTGATTGAATTTGATACAGTTGCACGCGTTGCTCGAAGACTAGCGACGATGCGCTTGCGAGTTGACTCGGACAACCGTAACGTGTATGGGCTGCTTACACGCTCAGTTTATAGCGACCACCCGCACCCTGGGGCCACGCCAGCCGCAGTCATGTTACAACATTGCTTCCATTATATATATTCCTTTAATAATTTCAAATTGTTGATATACAAAATTTAATTTGGACCTTACTTCATTGGTAAAGTAGAAGCAATTCGGTTATATCATAATGAATAATATTTAGAAAGTTACTTATTACTATATGTGTAAATTATGATTTGGTATCTTTGGAAGTCAAAATGTAAGGTAGAGAACGAATGACAAACTAACACACAACATTGTTGTTATTACGTACTACTTTAAAAAGCATTTTAAATTGATAATATTAAAGTTCCCTTTTCAATGACTTCATGAATGTAAAGGTTTAGATTATTGACGATTATTGACTTATATTAAAATCTACTGTTTCAAATTTCATTGTAATAATCATACTACTAAATAAAACAGCTTCTACTTTATCAGACAATAAGTTTTCGTATGTTTAAAAAATCAACAATAAACTATTATATAGTAGTTGTTGCAAAGAAACACGAATGAACAATGTTGTTTACATGGCTAGTGATAATTAACACAGATAATAAATCAGAGAAAGCAAACGATCATCACAACTAGGTGTGGCACGGTGCGATCTGTTAGTGTGCACGCAGTGTCACCTATACAATACAATGACAATGTCATTATGACATAGTCTCACTGTTCAATATACGGGTATAGACACTGTTGAAGACAATCCGAACAACCATTCCTATGCTGTCGCTGTATTCGTCTCTGTCACACAACCAATAAAGAAGTGAGATAGGAAAGGCAACGATGTTAATAGACTTCAGATTACTTGTGCTGCTATTCAATTTTTATATGGAAGCGTTCAAATAGTATGTATTATGAAATGTTTATTTATTATTATTTTCTTAATAAAGGGTAATAAAAATATATAAATGATATGTTTTCCCCGCCAAAAGTATTTAACAAATTTACATTTGTTAAATACTTTTGGCGTAAATACTCTTAAAATTGTCATGATGTAAAATTATACATATTTTGTTTACATAAATTATATTTGTGATTGACTACGCATTTTCTACTTTTGCGAATTTTATTTACACGTGTACGTATTATTTGAACGCACTATGTTTAGTTTATCAATGTCGATGCCTACGCAGGCGATTTAACAGTTACCAGTCTGGTGGTCGCAGACGTAAGAGCTATGTCGCCTCACCACTTTTGTTTCGTGTCCTCCCCGCCTATTTTGTTTCAATCCATTCTGATCATAAAATGTACATTATTAAGTATTACATATTCGTATCCGTTAAATAAAAAAAAAATCTTCACTTACTATTTATTTTACTATTATAACTAGAAAGTTTCAAATTTGACTTTGAATTTTGACTACTATATTATCATACAAAAATATTATGTTCAAAATGATATAAGAGTTTCACATTAATTTCACAGATTATTTAAATTGTTTCTAAACCTGCTATCTCTTTTTTTTAATATGGTTTATCGTATAGATTATTTGTCACTTATTAATACATTCTATGCTAACAGAAAAAACGGCACTATTATTTAAGTACGTATAACGTACACGAACCGCAGTATTAAACTTAAAAATTTATAATCTTAAGTATCAGAATGGATTGATGTTTCCTCGTAGGTAGTTGTTTTTGCAGCGTAGGTAACTCGCCTCACCTCATACAGCAACACTCACAGTGCGGGCTCTAGAGCCCGATTACTGCATGGGTTTTCTTTCACCCCCACCGCTTTACAGCGATAATTTGTACATACAACACGCCGAGAGCGCCGCTGTTTTCAAGCGCAATCAACCCTCTTGAAATTGGTGGTGTCTTCCATGCTTCACACGCATTGATAGTAGTGTAATAACATTTGCTTTTTTGTGTTTGCGACAGCTCTAGAGCGGGTTCAAAAGCAAAAGTTTGTTCCCCTTTCAAGACGGCAGCAAAAATACTACTGCTATCGCCCGTGATATTTCTGTGCGCTGCATAGTGCGCCAGTCCGCCCAGTAAGGCTCCTAGCAACTACTAGCACCTACTGTGTTGTCCATTACATCGCGGACGATGCTCGACCACGCGCCGCTATGTATTCCAATACCTTTCTAAAATAAAAAATATATACATATATACTAAAAAATAGATATATTTGATATAAAAAGATTTTGTTTATATCTGTCGTAGCGTCGCCTTCTCGAGCCTTTGTCATTTCGTATTTCAAAAGGGTTGATCGATGGATAGTTCGCGAAGTCCCTACGGTTCGGTTGCAATGCATGCCAGTTTTCTTCTATTACTGAAACCTCAATCTTGATCCAGTTGGCTTTTTGATCATTGGAAAATGTTATAGAGTATATTTTCAATAACATTTAAAAGTAAAATTAATATATACTTATTTAAAAAATAAATAAAACCTTTTAAGTGATACAGTAGCGGCAAAAAATTATTTTACAGTTGATACCTATATACCTTACAGAGCATACATATAAAGTAAAAATGTTTTCAATATAGTTGGTTTAGTGGAAATGAATGAGATAAATAATATTTGAACCGAAAAAATTCAATGTTTATTTTAAAATGTATTCGTACAGTTTTTATGAAAGTTACCAAATAAAGTAAATATTTGAAATTGCCAACTGAAATTCAATATTGAGGTGTTGTAGGTCAAAGAAATACGAGTATACGAATTTGTTATGGATTTTATTTATTAAATTGCTACCTATGCATTTGGGAGGATGGGAAAATTGTTATTTCAATTTTTAGTAATTTTTAAGGAATGAATATATTTACCTATTAGGTTTTTCTTAATAGTGCATGCGTAGTGATTGAGCGCGCACAGTGCCGTGCACTAGGTTGTGGTGAATTTTGGTTACAGTAGTTAAACAGTAGTTTGATATGTGATGCAGTTTTGCTATTCGATTTCTCTTTTATTATCCATAGAAAAATTTATTTTCATATAATTTTGAAAGTTAATTATTAATATTAATAAAAAAAATGAGAATGCATGATTAAAGATTCGTTTGTTGGACTCGGCACCGTACGAGTCACTAAATTGCTCTGTGCTGAAATGTTTAAGTAACAATTTGGTTGATGACAGCAGATTTTTAAATTAAATAAATGAACCTCTATTAACTAATATTTATTATTTCTTAATTTGATATAAAAGTTTGTTAAGTGAAATTACGAATTATGTTTTTTATTAACTTACAGTTTTGCTTGGAAAAAGTAATAACTAAAAGATTTCTTAGGTAAATGACATTTTTAATTATATTAATTAAATATATAATCTGTAATTATACTGTCACAATCAAATGTTAAGTAATATCATTTCTGATCAGTTCTGAAATGCCAATCTCTGAAACTATATCTTGCTTTCGACAGAAGGTACTATCTTAAGGACCCTGTACTGAATTTATAGTAATTATACCTACTATAAATTTAGTTCATACTGAGTCTTAAAATAATAATGTCGTTGGAAGATTATAGTTTTAACCCCTTACTCATGAATTCTAAAACATCTAACAAACCCATAACAAGTGTTATTATTTTGTGTTACTGTTTTTCGAATGAATGAAATGGCTTCAAAAAGGGATTAAACAGTGGCTGAAATAGGTTTGTTAGACGTATGACGATTTTATGAATAAGATATGAGATCGGCCATCAGAATTGATCAGTATTAGTGCTCGTACAGACGAACGGCAAGCTCCGGCATTAAACGGTTCAAGTTTCATCTGCCGTTGGTCTGCACGAGCGTATCGCGTGGGTTATGTATATAACGCGAGTCCAGCAAGCGAGATAGTGGCGGGCGCGGGTGCGGGCGCGAGTGTCGGCGTGAAACTAACGGGCCGGTGGTTGCAGCTCGACCGTGGCGCACCCGTCGGAGCTGCCGCCGTCGCCGCACCAGTGGGAATGACGCGAGACCAAGCGCGGCTTCGACAAGCGGCGCGCCGTCTACGCCGACACGCGGTAATCTCCGCGCCGTATTACAATACAACGCTACCACTACGATGCGGCTATCCACAAATCCACCTCGTCCCAATATAATTACGTTACGCATAACTCTTTGCAGATAGATTTCGTTTAGATTTGTTGTTAAAATAAGAAGTTGAAGATGGTTTTATGTGAATTTGAGAAATTAATGCAATTAATTGGACATGCGTTGGAATACCGTCAGAATTGAATCGGTATTCTGGTAAATAAAATTAGTTAATTTTGAATTTTTATTTGTACGCTTAGTACAGTTTTTTTATTTATTTGCATTTAACCAACTTTAAGTATGTTCTATCTAATAAAAATGGCAATGAAATTGGACTACTGAATAAAAAGCAATGCAAGATTATCTCTTTAGTCACCGTCTGATTGGATGTACAGTTAATGTTAGAATTTATCGTTTTTACAATTTTGAAATGCTTTGACCAGTAAACATTTGCGTGTATAAGATGAAATAAACCAGAAAATTATAACGTGGGGAATAATGTGTTCTTTCTAAGATATTGTAACGCATGAGCTGTGGTCATATATTTTGTGTTGTCGACAGTTATGCTCATATCTAGAGTCATAAATAAAAATAAACTGATTTGTTTGTACCATGTATAAACTAATATAACACAGTAGGTATAATTTCATGAGTTAGTAATAAGGTAAAACAGTTTTCCTTATCGATACGCAAATGTTTACTAGTAATTGCGTTAATATTGTATACGTTGGAACAAACGACAAATAATAGGAAACTTTATTGTAATAATTATGTACCTGGTTTCAATTTAATATGTTTCAGTTATATATTTATTTTATAGACAAATAATTGTAATATGAAATTGAACCGAATTTGTATTGTTAACCTAATGCAAATATGATGTAAGACATTGTTGTCAGTAATGGTCGTAGGAGTGAATGGCGGGCTCTCTTGTAGTCATTAGAATTAATTTGCAGTCACATACTGCTATCTCGGTCTTATCTCTAGTTAATGAAAGAGATTGAACTATACCACTGACACATCTTACTGACAATGGAGTTGATACATGCTAAAGTAACAATTAAAAGTAAATTTGCAAAAATACATGATTACATCATTTTTTCAACAGAAGAGAAAGTAAGACGCACTGTTTTGTACTGATTTCTGATAAGACATGACTCGTTTACTATTTAAATTAAAATTTAAAACCATTAAGTAAGTAAAATTGTACCTCATTTTGATAATATCGTAGAAAATTCATTTCTTTAACGCTCAAGAATAAATGCATTTATGTATATATTGGTCGCTTTTGAATGAACAAAATTAAGGAACTTACTTCTATAATAAATGTAGAGTCGGCAATAAAAGTGGTGATCACAAGTTATAAAGTATCTTATTAAAGAGGCATCGGACATTGATATAATGTTCGATGCTTGTGTGATTCACGGCCTGAGAATTGTATCGTTTATCGATCATCGGTGATCATCCACTTTGAGTTTGACTGTAAAAAGCGTGAACGATGCTAAAGGTTTCAGGTTTTCTCGTAGCATATCGTAGCGAATGTGTAGTCGGTTCGGTTCGTTGTGAATAGTTTGATAGAAGTGTAGAATTGGATCTGTAACGGTTTAATATGACGAACAATTGCCGCGAGCAACAAAGAAATATACAACGAAAACGAGTCGCTTTCTGCGATTTTTTTGTATCAAAGTCAGAAAGAGATGGTATAGCGCCATTTAGTGCGCAAGAATGAGACGTAAATACGAAGCGAGGTATAATGTATTACCGAGGACAGTGCCGCTTCACGTAGAATTAGGTTATTTTCATTATATTTCTATTCCATTATTATACAATATGTATGTGTAGGTGTCAGTGTGTGCCTGATTGTGTTTCGTACGGGGTTGCAAGCAATAATCGTTGCAATACAATAAAGCGTAATAATTATGGAATTTCATTTTATGTAATGACTTATTGAATATATTGATTCCTTTTGATTCTCTTATTCGCTATTGTAGGTTGCATGCACACGTCGGTCCTGTACTTAACGTTGACGGCGGGAAGTTGCGAATCGCTGCCGCGACGTTTGCACGCAGCCTAAGATCCTCTTAGTTAACAATTGCAATTGAACTGAATTTTTATCAATTTATATAAGATACTATTATAATTTTTGTTCAATAGTTATGCTAGATGTTTTATTAGACTTGTAAGACCTTACATATGACAATCTGATGGAAAGTGGTAACTGTTTAAAGACATGAATGGCTTCAAGAGTTCAGAATACTCTGACGCCAATGGTATTGATACGTGTTGCTTGCCTTAGTACTCAGTGATGTCATGAAAAACGGTAATGTCCATATTGAGGCAAAGTCGTTATTCTATATACCGGTATGAACTAAATTTACAATAGATAACAAACTTTAAATTTGTTTCTATTGGGTATATGGAATAATACTTTATTTCTGCTCTCAAATTGTAGTTTTAGAGATATGTTTAGAGAATATCAGATTCTACTTTAATGTTTTATATAAATTGATAATAATGAAAACAAAACAATTAGGGACGAATCAGAACATTGCAGTTATTAGCAAGGAGGGCACTTAATGACGTCACAATACTATCCCGGCATTGTAAGCGACTTGTCATTTAAATTTGGACTTTAAACATAAGTCACTTAAATTACAAGTCAATTGCGATTCTGGAAAGGTATTAATATGTTGAGTGGCGTATTTTATATGTAACATAGTACTGTTTAAGCTTACTCCTTAACACCATTGTATGTAACATCGACTGAACATTTTTACGTAGTTAGGATAGATAGTGTTAGTATTAAATAAATAAAAAAAAACTAATCAAATCAGCGATGATCATAAATGATAAATAATTATTAAATGTATGAGTAATATTCACACATACTATAATTGCAGTAGTGAGATATTGTATAGAAAATGTGTTGTAAATGTAACAGATACGTGTGTATTTCAAGCATTTAATAGTTTATTAGAGGTTTGTAAGGGAAATGGTGTGTTAGTGCGCGTGATTGTGTAATTATTTTTATTGGCGATTTAAAAAAAAACAACTATATGTTCCAAATTGGTGTTTAATTGTGTTAATGTAGTATTGATCCTGTATTATCACGCTGCTAACCATAATAATTAGAATAGGACAACTCGATGTAAGTTTGAAGAGACGTCGTAGCCTTAAAACTAGTTCAAAACTATATAAATGATAAAAATAAAAAAAATGTAAATAAATAAATAAATGCATAGTGTTAATGTTAGGTTCTAGAATGGTATGGGAAGTAAGCCGTTGTAGAAAGCTCACATATTAGGACAGACCTCTCCTTGTACCAATGCGTGGAATCGTGTTCAGAAATTAAAGTACGCTCTTAGATTCGAACTTTCTAATTAGTCATATACTACCAAATGAACGTTAGTCTAATACAAAGATTAAAACACTTACCATAATTGTGGTGACATAAAGAATATAAATAATTTAATAGTCAGTCGTATATATTTACAATATGATATCTTTTATTTTGATTGTACTCAATTTCATTTCTGAATTCACCACATAATTTCATCGAGCAGAAAAAATAAGAGCGTAGACATTTTACGTAGGTACTTGTTTTACTAATTTTTACATTATGAACGTGCAGCAAGTCGGTTGCCGTCGTTATAAAAATGTTAGCGAAACCGCGATTACTTTAATATTTGTTTTTTTTTATGTCATTTGAGTCATTTGAATAAAGTTTGAATATGTCGTATATTCAATTGGTACGTAAGTACGATTTCCAAGCAGTGGTACAAGCGAGAGACTATCAATGGTACAAAGGAGGCGAGTCACCGTCACACGTTATTTCGTCCACCCACGTGTCTGCAGAGCGGTTCATTGACCAACAATTAAATTATTTTTACTTCGGAGTGTAATCAATACTACAAAGTGCTATTGTTTCATATTTTATTGATCATATTATCTCATATTTTTAAGTATCATATGTGGATATAGGGATTGGTCCATGTTACCGTTTTACATACACGTGAGTTTATAACTGACAAATAAATGAAATTATTTATCTGTACGTTGTCACTGAATATTCGTTTATCAAAAGTGATGCGGGTAAATACGAGTTTTTATATCAATGGTATTTACTTGATCTTATTTTGATAACAGTATATTTATCTTTGAAATTTTCCCAATAGTTTTGAAAATTAAATTGTGGTACAATTATTCCATAAAATATTACAATTAAATATTACATTTTTTTTGCGATAATTTGAGATAATACTGCAGTTCTATAATTTATATGTTTATTGTTGGTTAGGACGCGACGCTGGCGGGGCCGCGACAGACCCACCTTGCCTTATCTCAATTAACTGTTACTGTGATCCGCTAGGCATAATTATTGGACCCGTACATCCCCGTTGATCCGGTCGCCTGTACATAGATAACACCGTTAGATAATTTTACAAGTCCGCTAACAGACGCTTATTATCGTAACCCCTGATGGTTTCATGTCCTCCGATTAATTAATACGATTGGATGTTTGTAAATAGAATTATTGTAAGTAGATGCAGTATTCAGCGATTATAAATAATGTCGGAGTGACGGCGGGCTTTACATAGGAAAAGACGTACCGATATGACTGGGCTAAACGCACGTGGCACGCGGTACTATTTGAACGGCTGTAATCGCATTTAGATTTATATCTATGCATTAAGCAGTATGTAGTACTGTTCAGATTGAGCGCTCTGTATGTTTAATACCGCGGGAATAATGATCTCAAAAGGCAGTGGTTGTAATTTGCTGGAAGGATACCAAGTGTACTTTACCGATTGATTTTAAAGTAGTAAAAGCGAGTGATTTTATACGTTTTTTATCATCACAAAACTAAAACTAGATAATAAGTGTATATCAACTATCTAGTTTCATAGTGAAAGTGAAATATCCAATTTGTTTTTTATAGCATATAAATAGCTAATCAGATGCTAAGATAAATTCTTTTAAATATCCATATATAATTTTAAATGGAATATATCTGATAATAGAGTTCATAGAGAAACAGATAATTCCAATTGTGTTTGTTTATATGGTATATTTATTGGCAGTATTTAAAATTTAATATATAATTTTTGTAGAGTACAAGTGTTTTCATGTATAGAGATGCTTATATATTTATTATCATTTTTTAAAAGTCTATAGTCCATTTCTGAAGAGTTTTATTCTTTATAATGTAAGAACCTTCAGGAAAGTTAAATCTCAAATATATAAATACTGCAGCACAGCGATAAACAGATCTTACCTTATCAGTCTTTGTGCTATTAAACTTATCAACTGGGAAAAATTACTGAAGCGAAAATTTTTATTTTGAATTTTATTGTTAGCTAGACGAAGCGCTCAATCCGCTCAATCCGCTCATGTCGCTCGCATAGCTCCAGTGCTGCCTCGCCTATTGCGTGCACGCTTTTATTTATGTAAATGGTACGTGTTGCGTTTCCAGCCTTTCAGAGATCTCGTATATATTTAAGTTTAAGTACATGTCTGTTCCCTACACACAACTTCTTTAGTTTTAATATGTCGATATTGTATTTGCGTTCGACAGACGGCCAGTCGCCAATATTCACCTTAGCTATAAGTTGACGGCATTAGCGTTCATTGGACACGTAAAATTTGTCCCATTTTATTTGTAAATATAATGTTAGAATGTGATAAGACTTTTAGTTTCAATATTAACCTTAGTGTCTGCTACTTAGTTTGTGTTCATCGTAATCCTCTCACTATAGTTTTGTATTATAATTTACATGATATACAAAAAGTAAAAAAAAAATACAAGAAAATATGGAATAGTAAATTGTATTATTCGTATAGATTTACGACAATGATTTAATTTTAGTATTACCAGTCGTTTTGTATATAATATTTAGATATTTTGTGCACTGATAGTCTCCTTTTAAGTTACTCTTAGATATTAATTAAATGGCTGTATTGTGTTTCGTTATGTAAACGCCTAAGACACAACGTTCATAAGACTTAGTAGTTGGAATGTTTGCTTTGCGAACTCTATCGATTTCCTATGTATAAAATGGGTTTAGTTTAATTTCTCGACCAGGCGTCGACGCGCAACGCCGCGTTGCGCACTAGTATTGTGATTTATTTGGTCGAGACACTCGCGGACCGGACACATTAATCTAAGTGTAAATATAATGATACGTGTTTCTGTCGTGTACCTACGGAGTTAGTTGCATTTTACCATTGTTGCGAACTGCCAAAACTATTGTAATAATTTTGTAGCGTTATGTACGACGCGACCACATTGTGAGGATACAATCTGTCATATAGAGCCCATTACATTATCAAATGTATAGAATTATAATGAAATTAATTTGTTTGTTTATGCACTTTAATGTCATATAGTTTTGTTCTACCTTGTATAATATAGGTATATTCAAATCAATTCGTGTAATCTTTATATCTATATTTATGTCTCTAAAAATGGATATAAGATTCTGCATATTTGATAACGTAATAGACCCTCATCAATATACAATCACACCGCGTCTCGAGTCTATGAGTAACGTATCTTTGGAATTTGGCGAAAAATCGCGTATTTACCAGACGACAAATATTAGATCACGCACTTGTATATCGCATCACGCACTCGAAATTAGAATAGGAATGTCATGACTGGGATCTATGTACTGTTATTTAAAAAAAAATTAAGTACTATTGGTACTATAACAATTTTTTTTCTAGGAATATACAAGTACTTTTAAATTGTCATTATTGTAATTATACCGTTGGTTTTCAGTATTTAGATATACATATGGGAATTTGGAGGAAACTCGACTGCGAGCAATTGTGCTCCTTATATATTATATGACACGGTATAATATGGCTTAAGGATATTCCTATTCTTAATATGTTTTTTAGAGTGTTGATGATACTACAAGATACTAACACGTTACTTAAATTAAATTCACTCGAGCATTTGTCATCTAGTTAACATGTGATTTGTGTTTGTCGGTACTCCACCAAACTGTACTAAAGTTGAAGAAACTTATTTTTATAACTGTGATCTGTTTGCCTTAGTCTTGTTTGCCGAATTTAAAGGTACGCTAACTCACTTATTAAATATATGTAAGAGTGACAGTTTGTAAACTTGTTCGTGTAGTTGGTTGTACGTAGGGCGCGCGTGAGGCGGCGTAGCGGTCGCTAAACGCCACAATGTAACAATAAAACTACTGCATAATTATTCAAGTCTTTTTATTGTATCCCATATCTTCTTATATATAAAATTCTCGTGTCACAATGTTAGTTACCATACTCCTCACAAACGGCTTGATCGATTTTTATGAAATTTTATATGCATATTCAGTAGGTCTGAGAATCGGCTACTATCTATTTTTCTTACCCTTAGGTGATAAGGGTTGTACAACCCGAATATATATGACAAAATTTTTATTTTTTTATAATGTGGCATTAAAAAATACTACCCAAAATTTTCAGGCTTCCACCACCAACCCCTATTATATAATAGCGATATTATTACTTAAATTTATATGCCAAAACAACGTTTGCTGGATCAGCTACCATCATTAACATTTTAGGCTGAGATTCAGCCTCAGTGAGACTCAACACAATCTGATTCGAGCTGTTCATGTGTATAGGCGACGATTTTTATAAAGATGAAATTGGAATTGTTACCTTCTTAAAGGCGACGGTTGCCACTAAGATGTTAATGGTTTGTCGGTTTATTTTCTATTGCAGTTACCTTCAATATAATTAACACAAACTTGTGTTTTCTACTATTTTCAATAAGAAATATTATATCCAACACTGAGATAATAAAAAAGTACGCTGTCTCGTGTGTGGTGGCCCCACTGAAAATCAGCGCTGTGGTATAACTTATTTATACTACAGTATAAATGCTGAGTGGGAGTCACAGTCCACATTCATACTGTTACCAGTATGTTTTAGTGTGTAATATTATCTTATCTGTGGTTTTAGTGACATAAAAACTAAAACATTTGTATCAGTATATTTTAGTTTTTGTGTTGTATATTTACTAAGTTGTCTTTATTATTATAAAAACAAGAGGACTTTTTGCAATAAACTTATATTAAATTTTGATAAAATAGGTAGTCATATTGCTAAAATAAATTTCATACTAATAAGTCAGGCCTTTTTCCTTATGCAGCAGGAAATGAGCTACCTGTTTCCGAAGAAAAGCTCAATCGATGGTTGCTAAGAAAATGTTATGACTACGAAAGAAAAAATAACTTAGTATGAGTAAAAAACAACTTATGTATGATGGTACATTAAATTGTGACGTCATGCACGTATAGATTAGATACCTATAGTACAATATTGGCATATTTGGTTGTAAAAAATGAATATCAATCGGTCAGCTTTAAAAAATTTATATATTGGAGAACTCTATTAGTAAAAGAATCACTGAAAACGATTCCCTATTGAGAGATAGCACCTATATTCATTCATATAGTGAAATAAGTAGCTCTTTTAATCTCGATAATTGCATCAAATCTTGAACTTAGACTGTCTGTGGTCAAGGTTAGATAACGCAGTACTTATTGAATAATACGTAACTTATTGAAATACAATGAATATAGGTTAGAATTAGAGTAGTTTAGTTATTTTTCTGTACGATATAAATAATGGGATTATGAAGATGGGCTTCGTTAATGGTTTACTCTGACGAGGATTCACTGAAAGAAAGCAATTTCATCTAGCCGGTATCGTGGTAAATTCGCCACAAAAAAGTCAAGGTAAATTCCAAATCCTTCTTTCTTTCAAATCGACGTATGGTTTACGTAAACTGTATTTAGTAGATCCTATTGCAATACAAAGTACGGATTTCTAATTAAAAAATCAGTATGATTCTGATAATCGTAGAGTTGTATGAGGTTGTGAACTGTTTGCCAAAGATTTGGCGGCAACTGTGAAATAAATGCAATTAAAAAAGTATCAACGTTATTTAAAATTACTACAGTACAGAATATCATTCGAGCTGTTTCTTAAAGATCAATTCTATATTAGTCACATACGTTGTTTATACAACAGCAGACAAATAATATAGTATATTACTTATCACTCGTAGACTAACATATATTCAAAGAACTATCTGGCTGTTAGTCTCTGTGTTATCAAGACAACATGAAGCCACTGCTGGTTTCTGTGTTATTTATTATTATTGGTAAGTATTTTATTTTAATTTAATATAATAGTCATAAGTCACCTACTTTATCTTTATATATAAAAATCACGTGTCACGTTTTGTCCGCGATGGACTCCTAAACTACTGAACCGATTGCAAATTTGATTTGCACATTGTGTGCAATTTGATCCAACTTGAAAGATAGTATAGCTTACATCTCAATTTATAGTCGCAATATTATTTTATTGCAAATTATTTTTATATATAAAGAAACTGCCACACTGACTGACCACAGCTGGTCTGCTAGTATTAATATATAAATGGAAAAGATACTCTATATCCTGTTTATTAATTTTAAATAATAATAATATTTCAGGACAATTCACACTGTGCCATCTAGTCCCAAGCTAAGCAGAGCTTGTGTTATGGGTATTAGACAACTGATATAAATACATGAATACATTTTTTTTTTGTAAATAAATACATATTATATATAGAAAACACCCAGACCGATACAAACAATCATACTCTTGAATATAAATGTTTGTACCGTGCGAGAAATCGAACCCACGACCATCGGATAGTAAAGCGGTGTGCTAAACCACTAGACCACCGAGGCTGTCTAAATTATTACCTAAATCAATATTTTTTTAGTAATATTTTAATACACACAGTTTTTGATGACGGATACAGGCCACATTCATCATAAAAATTAAAATTTAAGCATGTGAAACAATATGAAAGTGTTTAATGTAGGTATACCTATATATGTAGGTATATGTGCAAGAACGTAATTTCTATACCTAGTTCAATTTTGTTATATAAACTATGAAAGAAAATTGACTAGCCCTTATATATGAACTAGTTACTCGCCCCGGCTTCGCACGGGTGTACATGTATGATATATAAGCCTTTCTTTTGAATCACTATCTGTTGCTAAAAACTGCATTAAATTCCGTTGCGTAGTTTATATATAGATCTAAGCGAACAGACAGCGATAGCGACTTCATTTATACCTACTATGTAAAGATAAAATAGTTTGACATAAGTACCTAATGCTAGATAGACGAATTCAAACTTGCAATATCTGTCACATTTTAATTTATATTGTGTTTTATATTTTCGTTTGTTGACTAATGTAAAAAGCTTCTTTACATAGATATGTGGCAAGTCATAATATACAGTAACAATATTTATACAATAACAATTTAAGTAGATACAATTATATTAATAAATTAAATACATACACAATACACGATGTAACTGTGTCTGTTATGCTTGTTCGGGGAATATTTGCTGAAAAAAATATTTCATTTAGTTAGATATAACAGCTCACGACGGCGAGACTGACTCAAATTTGGAAAATACAGAGTTGGTGCATTTTTCTTTACAGCATCCTCACAAGCCACACCTCCTCGAGTTAGCAAAAGCTATCGAAACGATTACACGTACAATAAAAAAACTGATGCATTCTACAAACTACACATCGAGTCTGCTGATCAGCAGAGAGCGGTCGATGTTTGCCGGGAGGAAGGCGCCGCTCTGATGGTACCCGATTCACATATGGACATAATCCAGTTTCACGAGATGTATAAACAGTTTCCGGACCTTGGGGACTACGTGTGGGTCGGAAACGATAAAATACGACACGAATCTGCTGAGGAAGAAGCTATATTTGTTTGTAAGTGACATTTGTCTATATATATATATATATATATATATAGTATAAATTTGTTATTCATAGGTAAAAGGTATCTTTCAGATACTTATATTGTTCATACATCTGACACCATATAGCTACCTACTATAATTATATTAATGTTACTTATTTAGTTACATAATCAGAAACATTCATGTAACTGTAGATCTACTCTAGTAACAATTAATAGCTGAGCTGGCTTCATCCGCGTGAAATTTATCGCCTATGTGTTATTCTGATGTATAAGCATTGTGAACTTTCATTAAAATCCATTCAGTAGTTTTTGCGTGAAAGAGTAACAGAGATCCGTCCATATGTACTCAAAAACATTCGCGATTATAAAATTAGTAACATTAGATGAAATGTATATTCTTAACCGTACATAGTTAAAAACTTCAATTAGAAATATGTGCTAAAGTGAATTGAAATTATTTGGCTTACATTTTTTTAAAATAGATGATAATGGCCATTCTATTTTGATCTACTTAAAAAAAATGTACCCGTCTGCGCTAATGGTTTACGCTGGCGGGACACCAGTAGAGGATGCTAAGATGACCTCAGGTCAGTTAGCCCATCGTGACAAATTCACCAGGAATGTATCACGATGGTTACCAGGGGGAACCGCGTGGAGTTCAAACTGATAACTTAGTCGCCATTACTATCCCTTCCCCCATTTGGAATACTTTAGTCCGACCATATGTTCGACCTCGACGATACATAGCAATTGATTGCACTGCATGAAACATGTTACATCATAAAACAAATAACGCTTTCTAATTATTATAGACGAAGAAGAAACTACGCGTGTGCCAGCGCCATGGAACCGTGAATGCAACGTTGCAACTCGACATGGCGAAATAGAGACATACGTATGCGCCAACAGGTTGCCGTTCGTATGTAAAGTGGACGCGAACCAAGCACCTTATGATAGCGCTTGTGGTGTATATGCCAATGGTTAGTAAACTAAATAGGCAGTGGAAATATGGTCACAGAAAATAATTTATTCATTTAGGACAATTTAACCGTTTATGACCATAAAATTTGTTGTATTATATTTTTCCCCTACCGTCCAGTTTAGAACCAATTGAGAAGAATTGATAAGAAACTCAACTTCCAACTTAAGAATTTCCTTTTTCAAATACAGTTTTATATTACCTACCCGCGAAAAGAGTGTGAGTGGAAACATTGAACGTTGTATCGTTAATTAAGAATTGATCTCCACGTGGTCCTTCTTAAAAGCAATTATCATTCATTCTTTTTGAAATAACTCACTGTAGGTACTATAGATATTTAATCAATAGGATAACACTTTTTTGTTTGTTTTTAATCATTTGACTTTTCTCTAAGTATATTTCCACTGACCGTCGACCAAGTAACTATGTAACAAAATGCAAAAGATTTCAATGCTAATTAAACGAAAGTATATTAGAACTATATTATTATTATATATAACAAAATTATTCTGTAGGTTATGAATATGTCGCAAATATTGGAAGCTGTTACAAGATCCCACGATTGGCCTACGCATGGAACGAGGCTTACGCAGAATGTCGATCTCAAGGTGCCCACCTTGTGGTCCTCAACTCTCAGGCGGAACACGACGCGGTGATGGAGGTGATGAGGAAGACACGACTACTGCCAGATTCTTATATGCCATATTATTTTATTGCTGGCTACAGGGCGACAGTACCCACTGATGGGTCGCCGAGAGTGTTTAAGACAATCTTTAGTAAGTATATTATATAGTAAAATATTTCAAACCCAGGGCTTATTCCATATAATACGAGCCTAAGTTTTTAAGAAAAGTTTTTGCCGATGTATTGTTAATATAAACTAACTTATTGAATATGCTGTCTTTCAGTGTAGATATATGTAGATTTTAATATTGGAATATGTTCAATCATTTTGAATAGATTTTTTGTGTTTCAAAGTTTTATCCAGTGTCATAAATAATATTCTATAATAATATATTTTAATACTTTTAATAACTCCAATTATCTACGCTACAACTGTCTCGCCTATTATAACTATTAAGCAGCTTGCTGTTTAAAATATAGGTAAGATATGATAGTAAAATTATATGGCATGGAGGATGCGAATTTATTCTTCAGTAATGACAATGAGGAGTACGTGGTACTCCTGGTTATCAGTTTTGCTAGAGGAGCGTTACATGACATAATATACATTGCCTTGTTGATGTTGATATTGCTGTATGTTGGCTACGGTTGCCGTTTTATATGTAAGCTGCCTGTTTTTTTGTTCTTTTAATAAGAAATTTAACTCATTAGTTTTGTATCTGTAAGTAGACGTATTTCTTTCAGATCAAACTATTACAGAAGCTGGTTACTCTAAATGGGCGGATACAGAACCGAACAATGTTAATGGAAATGAAAACTGCGGCTCGTTATTTGAAAATGATGGCAATCTGAACGATCAGGACTGCGCCAAACGATACGGATTTATATGTGAAAAGGAGAAAGACTCGTGATTTTAACATCAACACACGTTCTTAAAATCGGTGGAGATACGAGTCATCTAGACCGCATTTGAGATCGCCTTGTATCTATGTAAATAAAGGAGAATAATAGTAATAACATATTATACGATGTCCCTTGTACACGAAGCTATATTTCCATCGATTTTAGGGACGAGTGTAAACGCTCTATATTTAAACAGTACTAATGTATTTATTGTATATAAAAATAAAAGAACACTTAATTTAAACCTATTACTATATTTTTTCATGTTCTCAAGCACAATAAACATGAGTTCATAGTATTAGTAAACAAATACATATACATAGTTCTTAAATTAAAACATTAATGATATTAATAAAAATATACAATTATTAGGCTAACCAATTACAATAATGTAACAATTTTCACAGTACTCAAACAATTGCTATTAAAAACGACATTTAGAATTCCACTGTATTTTTTGCATATAGGTATAGGTACGATTATTCTTTTTGCAATAGTTAGCATATAAATACTCGCATGTCGGTTTCAAAGTAATTGTTTCATTCGGAGTTGTTCTTTGCTACCATACCTAAAAGTTTGGTAAAATACTAATAAAATTGATTTTTTTTAACGAAGAAACAGAGTTTGCTTCTTATTTATCGTAGAAGCACCCGTGAACATTTTGCTTCAATTATGAATTAATTCCATGTATGTATACGTAAATTTATTTACATTTATAAGTACCTCCTTATTAATAAAAGCTAAAACCTATAGTAATAATAATATCCCTGGACAATTCACACAACGCCATCAAAATCAAAATATATTAATTAAAAATTGAAATTTGAAAATCAGTATAATGTTATATGGCATTGGAAACTTAATTTCATATGTTCACTTTGTTTACACATTGACATACACTAAATTTCTCACGACACCGCGCTGTTTTTATGAAGGTTAGATATTATTTTTTTATTTTACTTTACTTATTAAATAAAATTACCGTTACATGAATCAGTTGCTGACTTTCTGCTTGGTAGGCTTGCCAACTGTGGACCAGAAATCCGAGATTTAAACTTATATTTTTTTACAGTACGCATCTTTAATGCCTTTTCATTATAAATAATATAATTATACCACGATATATGTAGGTAGGTATCGTGGCGGTGTAAAATAATGACGCGAAGAAAACTTCCCGGATATTTTAGCTACGTGTCTGGGGATTTGAGATTTTTACGGGACAATCCCGGAATGCCGAGAGAGTTGGCAACCCATATACCCTTTCCTGCTAACCACATACATTTGTTTATGCAAGTTCTTTTGAAAAATTATTCAAGTAATTAAGTCTCTTATAATAAGTATGATTGATAAAATAATTCAATGTCTGACATTATTTGTTTACTTTGATTATATTATAGTAACACTGCACAGCTGAGGTCAAGAACAGTTACATAATAAATATTGTTATCTACAATTTTATTTAGATATTTAATTAACTCAGCAATTGGCACTTGACAATATACTTTATATAGGATATAGTGTTAAAATAACTTTTCAATTGAAGGGTCGAAATTCTTCTCCAGATGTGCATTCTCAATATAGTGGTCGTGGCTTTCATGATAATGATCGATCAGATCGATGATGATCAGTGATCTGATCAATCCCCTGTCCAATTTAAATGGGGATCGAAATTACGACGGTCTGAGCCGAGCTTCAAACCCCTAGCGGTGTCCTCAGACTAAAGTCGTATCCGTCAGATGGGAGTCCGGTGAAGCTGTAAAGGCCAGCTGCGGCCGAAAAAAATTATGGCACAGTGCCATCTCGCAGATTAATCGCTCTTTAGATAGTTAACTAGACATACATACACTAGTTTCTTTTGTTGGCAGCTTGATTTAAACTCAGGATCTCTTGCCTAATTAGGTCCATGTAGAACAGACAGTATAAACCACTACGTTCTTCGCTGCTTAAAACTTTTCTTTACTGCCTACGTAAAATTACTGGTGTATAAAAGGTAACATTTGAGTTTTAGTTGACACTTGTACAAAAGTGTTTATTACATTATTATTATATGTTAATTTCTATATTTATCTAATGTCCTCAGATACATAGAATACTTATTTATAATTTTAATTTACCATAAACTCATAAATTAAAAAGAATCATTTTTTCGTAAAATAGAGAGATATTTATTATCAGGTAAATAAGTACAATTATCCAGTATATTTATTTTTTAACTACATATGTACCGCTTTCTCGTCTCGCACTGTACTCACCCTGAAGAAGACTTCTGGATGAAGTCGAAACAACTGTCGCGAAAGACGAAAACATAAACGTCGTAAGCTCTCTAAATTCTTGTACATAGTTATAAAATATTAGTGCAATATGAAAATAAGTTTTAAAAATAGTTAAATATTAATGTAGTGGTTATTCGTTAACTTGACTCAGTATATTATTTAATGTTGGACAGACTTGTTGAACTTCCCGAGAAATTGCGCTGCGTCAATAAGTTCTTTTGTAGACCACCCAGTATAATATCGGCCCTGTGAATTTATTCATAGATTAGTGGATTACAATCCCAAATACTGGCTTTTGATGGTTAGATATTGAACGCTTATTTATACAATGCGCAATATAATAGGATTTTTTTAAATACATGCTGATATAATTTGACCGACCTGGTGGCCCACCTGATGATGGTCGTAGTAGTGGAAACAGTCGCCTATATACATGAATAGGACTACAGACTATTCGGAGGATTATATAAGGTTACGTACTTTTATTTACTCAATATTTATATTTCATGGCCTCATTTGATTTGATCTGGCTTAAATATAACATTTCTGAGATTACCTTAATTTATTTTGTTTTTGCAGATCAAGTGGAACTTCATAATCGGTCTCTGGCTTATACTCCGGTGTTGGTTTTGGTTTTGGTGCGGGGGTTGGTTTGGGTTTCGTTACATTACCCGTCGTTATTAATGTTGGTGCTCCATTATTCATATGTTCAGCATTAATTACAACCCCGGATGTAATTAATTCAGGTTTTAGGTTAGAAGCCTCTTGTTCTGATATGATGGGTTCGGATACGGTGAGCTCAGTTGTTGGTGGAGGAATGTTAAGAGTAATGTCTTGAGTGTCGACTTCGTTTTCTAAGTCCGATTCAGTGATAAGAGGTTGATGATCTGTTCCATCGCGACTGTGTGTGCTAACTCTTACCATTGACCGACGCTGTAAAAAACATTTTTTCTGAATATATATTTGCTGTTTATTTTCTTTATTAATTACATTATTGGGTACAATAAATTCCCCAGGACTAAGATGCCGTAATTTTATAGATGATTAATATTAAATCCGCCTTTACCAACAGCCATCCAGTTGAAATATGTAGTTACCCAACGTGATACTTACTATACTTTGTCTTTTAACGTCTCTTTGCAATGCTTGGAGTTTTTCTTTATTTTTTCGCCTTAAGCAGCCACACTGTAACATATTTTAATATTAAAAATGTCCTTCAAAATTTCCAATATTAACATCATAATGACTTTGATCATCATATTTTCCTAAGTCAGACTTAGGAAACTATAATGTCTAGTACAAAATATTCTTAGCTTTAGTTTCTTAGACTAGTCAGAGCAGTAGCAGAGATAAACAAATACTTAAACATATTACGAAGATCAATATCTTACATCTCTTATATATTATTATTTCTTCATTCACAGAACGAGTATCAAAATGGTATGATACGGGCTATACCAAACAAATTATTATTATTAAATAATAATAATATATCTTCATGAACCCATACGAGGTACTCAGAAACATTATCAACTGTCAACGTTTTCGTAAAAACAATATGTGTAAAACACAATGCATATACCTAATGTTCAAATAGTAAATATAATATTAGGCAAAGAAATTTCGCTACAAATTACCTAATGATTATTAATAAGTATAGTTACTCCAGTTTGACATACAGAGATGTCAACCACCACTAATGCAATCTAGTCAAAATATCGAAACACTTACCTGCACACCTAACGTATGCAAATAATTTCCATACAATACCTGACTACTATATAGGTATCGACAAATGAAAAGCAGTTTGCATATGAATAGCAGTAGGTATCTTTTAGTTACTAAAGTAAGCGGTACTCGTTGCTACGGTTTTATTACTTCTCTAGTTTCTTTAATATAATTGACAGCGTACTATGTTTTAAACAGATCTTGTCTATTAATACCGCAACTCTATGCTCTTCATAGTATCATAAGTGGCAAAACTTTTATACATAAAGGGTTTATTTTAACTTGAACTTTGATTTTCGTAAATATTTAACTATGCTAACTATAGTAACAAGGAAACTACAGTAACTGAATTAACTGTAGATACCCTAATCTATGGTTAACTGTGTCATTATATAACTATAATATATAAACTAAGTGACTACAAAAATTACAAGAATCCCAGAGTACCGACGAGATACTGACTACTTTGCACTCTGTTCGTATAATTTGCAACAGCTCTATTAATAATGTGTAATAAAAGTATAAGTTAAAAAATATTACCAAACTTTAAATAAATCAAAGGATTGTATATTACGATCCATGAAAGGTTATATGAGGCCTGGGGAAAATCGATTGACTCGAAATTAAAATTTGAAGTGATCATAGACTAAGAGTTTAAATTGCAAACGGTTGCGAGGGAATAGAATAAGAAGCTTCGGATAATGATATAAAGAAATCAAATTAATAAGAGAAACATGAGTCTGTAAAAAAATAAAATATTACCTCGTGTAAAACGAATGCTAAAATGATAAGAATCAGTAATCCAACCAGGGAGGCAGCGATGATGATCCAAAGTGGTACACTGGCGTCGTACAAATGTAGACTGCTCCTAATGCTGTGTGACAAAATTGTTAAGGCATTTAGACTGACTTTCTCCTCGAATGTTAAATATTTGTGATTATAATATACAATATTAACTGACATGACAAATAAGCTGGTCGCCCAAGACTTAAAAACCTTAAGTATTGATTAAATACATGTACAGCATTACATTAGTTAGTTGTCATTTGTGGTCTGTGGTACAATACTTTATAGTTTCTAGTTTAATGAATTTGGGACAGAACACAATGCTTGAAGTCAATTTGGTCACTTTTGAATATTCCAAATAAAATATATAACACATACAAAATTGTACATTTAAAATTAATCCTATATTATTACTACATTACCTGTACGGTTCTTTAACTTCGTTTAGGCCGACTTCAAGATGGGAGACAACTTGAGCTCCCTTGTATAGATATTTGTCTGAAAAATAAAACAGAAAACATGTCGATATTTTTTGATCGATATTCTTTGCAGATATAGAATATATTTATATTTATACAATTATAGGCACCTGTAGGAATAAAATTAGGCGAATAAAATAAAATCTAAGTACATACATTTATTTGTACCTAGTTTACGCTACCACAGACATATAGAAACATAAAAATATTCGCCAGCTGCTTATTTTTTTAGTCTTAAAAAAATGTATGCAATTGACAAGTTAATATTTGTCACTTGATTACCATGCAAAGGCATGTTATTAAACATGTTTAAATTATATTTATTAGTATTATATTTAGTGGTTTTACAATACTAACCCAAAATTCGAGGTGGCAACTCTATTGGCAGGATGACTTGAATCTTACGATTGGACTTCAATATTTCTACTTCACATGACATTATATACATCTCTTCTGTTTCTTGTAAATTGGTACAGTGGTAGAAGTCTCCCGTAGGTATCTAAAAATGGGATTAATTGAATGACCAATGGACTACTATATTATTTATACAGTGGTAGTGCCGAATTAACTTAGTAGCAAAAGCAGTAAATGTAGCCACTAAGCACTGCTGTCCGATCATAATCGATCAAAAACATAATTAAAAAGTTTTTAATATATACATTTTTGATTTATAGAAGTATTAAAATACTTTTTTTTATTATGCAACGTAATAAGGAACCTAATTCCAAAACCAAACCATGGACCACGTAAATAAATTTAACGCTTGTTTAATCCAGCACTGTAGTACTTAAGTACATTTTTATAGCATTTATGTATACTCATAAATATAGACAAACAAATAAATAACATATAAAACAATATGTTTACGTCTAAAAATAGTACTCACCGTATATCTGGAGATATAAGGCTGTTTCTCTAAACTAATAGTCATATTTAAGTTTACCCAGGTTGTAGAACCGTTGTTATAAATCTACAAGAAAAATAACCATAACTGTATTACTATATATATATATATATATATATAGTAATACAATTATAAACAAGCATGTGAGCTTGTTTCATATTATTTAAGTAAAAACCATGGCCCATATATCTATAGCACATGAGCTACATTATTATGTGATGCTCCAGCGTCCTTCCCTGAGGAACAAAATATCGTGCCTCGTGACCTGTTATTTCACTGCCTTATCCTCAACCTTTAATGTATAAATTTTAAAATAAATTAATAAAGTCGTCACTTTTTTAGGTATAAGTTTGAAGTATTTATTCACAAGACATGAGAACAAAAATATTACATTATACAAAATTAAACATTTACAAAGTCTACCTTGGTAAATAATTTCGTTTCCTTAATGTAACTTGAATGGAATGATGAACAAGCTGACAGCTTATCGAAATGTATAGCGAGACCGTTAACACGTCGTCACATTGCCCCCGAGTCACATTTTTAATGCGTTACCATTATCTGTCTGTGTAATCTATTATATGGAACTTGCTTATTCTCTAGGCCTCATTTTGTGGGCCAGCGGTTTAGCACACCGCCTTACTTGTGATGGTAGCGGGTTCGTTTCCTTGCCCGGTGCAAATAATTTCGTAAGTATGATTGTTTGTATCAGACTAGGTGTTTTCTATGTATATTATCAGTGTATTTATTCAATCTTGTAGGCATTACAAAAGGTTTGCTTAGCTTGTGACTAGATGGCGTTGTGTGAATTGTCATGTCATTGTCTTTATTAATAAGAAAAAGATACATTTTACTTACCGAGTATACGTGCTGAATACGTTTTCCTGTAACATCTATATTCTCCCTTGTTAAGTTGATAATATCACCACCTGAAGTCGAGCTGAAGTAAGTTGTTTTTAATTAAATTAGTACAAACTGTGCAATGTTAGTTTAATTTTGTACACTGGAATAATCTTATATTTATTGATAAATAGATTTATTCGGTGTTTTTAGTCCATTTTTTAGAATAGAATAGAAAAACCTTTATTAAAATAAACTTAATTTAAGCACTTTTGAATAGTCATAAGAATTCTTTTAATCTAATTTATCGCTTATTCGAAATGCTGTCTCATCACAAGAAGAACGAGCAAGAAATTTATGTGTTGCTCTTTTAAATAATCCCTGTAAGTTCATATTTTTCAAGTCGAAACATGTGAATACGAACTACCAACTAGCACTAATTTATTATGGTCAAATATAAATACACAACAGGATTAAATCAGTCGTAGTATCGATTATATTATTATATATTTAGATATTTTGTATACCATACTACGGCGAATCTGATGGTAACGGTTACCGTAGGATACCGCCTAAAACTCCACGTGCGTGTTGCCAAACCTTAAGAAACTTTTTAAAAAATGTGGTATATATTAATTTATTATATACCTCCAATTACATAATTTTTAATAATAAAAATGAGTTGGTAAATAAAAATAATATACTGATATTATAATACGGATGGGACAGTCACAGACATTTTGTTACGTGGGCAAACAACAACGGTTGGTGGTAATCTTCACCTATACATATGTATATTGTACAGGTTTTTCTTAATATAGATTTTGATTTATACATACTATTTACACTGTTATTCAGCACTTGACAATATACCTTATATATACATATGTATAAGGTATGTAGTGTTAAAATAAATTTCGAATTGAAGGGTCGAAATTCTTCTTCAGTGGTTCACTCTCAATAGAGTGGTCTCGACTTTCACGATGGTACTAGGGATTCTCTTCCCCTCTATTCGATCCCCCGTCCAATTAAAAAGAAACAAATCATATTAAAATTCAAATTTCGAATTTATGACGGCCTTTGCCGAGGTTCGAACTTCCTAGCTGTGCGTTTAGACTAAAGTCGTATCCGGCAGGCGGAAGTTGCCCTTTAGCTGCTTCATAAGACTTGCAGTTTTATAGTGGCATCTTTACTCGTCCTATCGTCCGGCGATACTGTAAAGGTCAGTTGCGAATAGTGCGAAAAAAATTGTTATTTAGTTTTTACTTACCCTTTAAGTATTACGTGGTCCTTGTCAGCTTGCAACGGTATAGTTTTCAAATTAGTTTTCGTGACCGGTCCATCGCATCGATCAAATAATGTAATGTTAATAATAATTTCTTTATCATTATTATTCAAGCTTTGTACATCGAGAAAAATCTTATCAGTAATCTGCACAATGAAAAATATTTCTATAATTAAATATCTTTATCAATAATTTAATACTTAGGTAAATGTGCAGGAGGTAAACTTTGTAATTCCTCGTGGGTACCTCGGTCGCACCTTTTTTTAAAGTGTGGAAAATCTTCAAAAGACCGTCGCTTTGCTAGAGGGATGGCGACGCGGTGACTGGGATGTTTACCCACTAAAAACTGGGATTTCGCATATGCATTCTATCCCGAACCTCGGTCTCACCGAGTTTAGTCGACGTCAACACTTGAGTGGTCTCTCTGGTCTCACATGACAACATGATGTCCAAAGTGCTGTTCATTTATATAGGCGACAGTAATTACGGCATGGCATCAATACCTCTGGAATGGCGTCCCATGAGAATTACTACGGCCGTCACATGATACTTGTATGTAGGTGACGGTTATACATATATTACCAACTGATGAGCCGTCATATGTTGACATTCCAGAGGACTAAGATGCAGTATCAAACTCAAAATATCCTTAGTCATGTAGGTCTATTAGAGACTTATGATATGTCAAATCTACCGTCAGTTCGGAATGATATCGAGATGAGAAGAACTGACAAGAAACTCAGCTCGTATCTTTGTTTTTTAAATGTTGTACATATTTACAATAATACAAATTCAAATTTGGGAGAATAGAGTGACCACCGGCATATGCTATTGAAAAAAAAAAAATAATATCCTCAATTTCATAGAAACCAATTTCATAGAATTCTATTTAAGAGAAACCTGTGCGCGCAGTAAAGTTACGACGTAGGTATTCGTCAGTATTCGTTCAGAAATATTTCTATTCTCAGATCTTGCGCCTCCCTTCACATATACTAATACTAGCGATACATTTAATTGAAATTATGTCGTAAATATTTACGTTAATTTCGACCCGCTAACTTAATTAATACATTAACTATAAAGTTTTATTTTCATAACCTTAAAAGTTAATTATAATTCCTATGTCTACCAAAATGTTTTAAAATTTCTATACTGTCTTGGCCTGTTCATAGGAATGAGCTAAATAGGTCCATTTTATTGTTTAAAGAAAATCTATTTAGTGTGAAACATTGATATCCTATGAAAATTTATCGAGTTTGATTCGTTGTTGAAGAAAATTTTCATAGTTAGTAATAATTTGTAAAGAGAGGGGTCAGTGATCATATTCCTGATCGAAGCAATAACCGAAAGCCAAACAAAAGGCTTGGCAGCTGAAATTGGTGGAGGTGAGTACCCATTTAGGTTACGCGGATGATGATCGAATACCTATTTTAGTACTGAGTTGACTGTGCTGTTGATTTGCACAAGTACCAAGTCAGATTTATTTGTACATATAGGATATATATGTAAATTTCAAGCTTTAAAAAAATATCAGTTTCCCTACAGTCCAGTTCGGCTAGATACTTAAGTGCCAAGAGCAGGCATGACATTCCTGAAACACCTTATTTAAGGCATAATAACATTTAGAACATGCATGATCTAACATATTTAACACATATTAAAAATCCACTGATCTTACATATAACCTCTAAAATAATCCCATCCTATGTACATATATTGTGTAAAAGTGCATAGTTAATATTTAAATTGAATATATTTTCATGGAAAACTTACCCAGGTTGTGTTAGTTCTTAATAGTACGGATGGTTTGCATTTCAACATCTCGTTAACACCTTGCCTTAGACAAGAATGGCCCCACTCTTTGATGCGAACACCTTTCACGTCAATAATAACGCACGCATCATAAGCTGCATCTCCTGCATTACTTAAAATTACTTCTATCTCTTCATTTTTGCTACTTCCAATGGTATAGGGCGATCTGTTGTAATCATTGTTAGAATATAACATATGTTGTTAATCTTCAGACAAACGGAAACTTTTTTTTATATGACTGACAAAGAAGTTACATCTTTTATATATGAAGACCAAGAACACCACATCATGGCGTACCCTTTATGTATTTATAGATTATCTTTCTCGAAATAGTGTTTTTAAGAAATAGTATTCATTTGTTTTTATTTAAATTATCGATATGCTATATATGCTTAGTTTATTATGTATTTATTAATTCTTCACAATAAGGATTGTGTCAAATTTAAAATACAAATTATTATCTAACTGCTTAGAATTGGTATATGTTTCATTTAATGAGGACTTATTAATATTTAGTTTAGTTAGTTATATCTGCAGATGGGCGCAAATAACTGCTACACAGGTTTTTATAAACTAGTGTATTTGTTTACGTTTAACATGGTATTGTAATTTGTATTGGTTTGAATAAATTCTGTAATTCTTCTTTAATTTACATTCCGCAGGACTCTTAATATCTATTTATAATGAGAACTACAGTACCCTCTGGAAATCCTTATGGTTAGTTAAGGATAAATTTGCCATGATGTGCTAACTGACATGATTTCATCAAATCATCATCATCATCAGTGAAGCCTTATTAGCGTATATAGCCTTAGAGCAGGCAGTAGCATAATTATTTACACTATCATCAATTAAAAAATATACTCTAACAAAAACATACTTCTTTGAAAACCAATGTTTATTTCAGGTGAAATCGTCATGATTGGCTAACTGAACTTCATCCTTATTCTAACGAGGTGGTGCATCTCGCATTTAATAGGTCATGAGGATGATGATGATGAACTACGCATGTGATGCACCAATTAATTAAAATATTATGCTTTAATTGTATATTTAGTAATCTTACATATAAAATTCTCGTGTCATAATGTTAGTTACCATTTTCCTCCGAAACAGTTTGACCGATTTTTATGAAATTTTATATGTATAATCAGTAGGTCTGAGAATCAGCTACTATCAATTGTTCATACACCTTAGTAACAGATAAAGGATTGTCTACCCCTGACATGTTTTTTTTTATAATGTGGCATTATAAAATACATCTTATATATATAATTCTCGTATAATAGTATATATAGATTTCATTACTTACGGCATGCTAATAAATTTAGAGAGATCAAGTTTGGGTACACAGTCCTTTCCTCCCTCGCATTCCTTAACAATGAAGAAAGATGTAATCGACATGACACTTGCATCACTGAGAAGAACCTCGGTTGCATTGAATATTGAATTATTTTTTGGATCATTGTGTTGCTGAATTAATACTTTATATTGAACATATGGCTCATAATATAATTCCTAAAAAATAAAAGTAAAATATTATGTGGCGATAAATACTAGGGACAATTTACGCAGTATTAACTTAAACTTAAACACATACTTAACTTACACGGAAAATATGCAGCTAAAATACTATACTTTTTATGAAACAATACAAAAATATTTCAGTTTATCTGCTCAATATTTGTCTACTGAAACATTTACTAACCACTAGAAATAAAAAAAATAAAAACCAATAGAATCGAATTCCACCCGTTTTAGTGCTGAAATTAGTAAACTGGTACCACTGCCTGTAACTTTCAAGCATATTTCATCCTTATTAAAATAGTTAAAAGGGTTTTAACTCTGGCTCCGTTCAAAAGTTGACTTCATCTCGTGACAACGAGTAGTGCAACCTAGTCGTAACATCGAGAAAGACAAATAAATACCTTTATTTACCGTAACATTATTCATGTTAAAACCATTCTAACTATATTAATAACCAGCTGTACACGCGACTTCGTCCACGTGGAATTTAACTTTATTTTTCTAAAATAAAAGATAGCCTAAGTTACTCCTTATTACATCCGCTACCTGCCAAGAAAGCCCTGTCAAATTCGGTCCAGCCATTTCAGAGATTAGCCGGAACAAACAGACAGACAGACAAAAATTGTAAAAACTGTTGTTTTGGTGTATGTGCCGTATTTATAGTCCTATGTAGTAAAAAACGGTTATTTCAATATTACAAACAGACTCTCCAATTTTATTTATATATATAGATGAGTACATATTCCATTCTTCAAACCAGGTGCAGTTTACAGAACAAACTGATCAGACAGTCTAATTAGTACGTACAGTCTTACTATGTACATACATAGACAAGACCCGTATAGTTGCAATTAACATAAAATTCTGTAACACTGATTTTTTATATTATACTAGCTGTGCCCGCAGATTCACCCGGGTGACATTTATAGTCTATGAGTTACTCTATTTTAATGTAAAGAATCAGCAAAATCCAGTTAGTAGTTTTTGCATGATAGGTCACAAAACAAACATCCAACCATACTAACAAACTTTCGAGTTTACAAACTCTAAAGTTTGTTAGTATATTAGTAAGATTATTTTATTATATCTTCCTTTTTTTCCGTTTTTACTTTCAATGTGATATTTTTCTTACCAGAGGTGTTATAATTGTTATGTTTCTGCAGTACTTGTTTATGCTTCTATTGTTCAATATATCCCTTGGTATATAATACTTCGTCACCATGCCACTACTGTCCGTTGCGTTATCTAATTTACAATTGGCGTGCGTTATTGTAATTGTTACAGAAACATCTGAAATTGGAAACATTTAAGCTAGATATTGAGGTACAGCCACTGACTCATTGAGTACAGAAACAGTTTGTTTATTTAATTACAATTGAAATGATTAAAATAAATAAATAAATAACCCTGTACAATTAACACAGCGACATCTAATCCCACGGTAAGCGGAGTCTGTCTGAACTTTTTTTATGGGTACTAGACAACTAAAATAAATAGTTAGATATTTTTTTGTAAATAAGTACATACAAAATCGAGCGATATAAACAATCATACTCATGAACGCAAATGTCTGCACCGTGCCAGGAGTCGAACCCGCGACGATCAAAAGTAAAGCTGTGCTGTTATATTCTAATAGTGATGTGCTGTTATAGTTGTTGAGAACATTGGTTTGTGATAAATTTACACTAATTTCAGAGGAATGCAGTCACATTATTTCACATGAAAAAGTGTTTGTAAAAACACAACTTATACATATGTATATAAATGAAAACAGAGATTACAAGCCCACAAATTCCTTACGTACTGTATATCGCTGACCTTGTAATTTTGAGTTATAATAATTATATATGTTAACGTAGGATTCTATCCCTATCTAAATTACAATTATCGTCGTAAGAAATTATCTAATAACCATGTATTTTTGTAATATTAATAATAATATTAAATGGTCTAATCATTAAACTGTTGTCCTATACATATATTACATAATAACAGGTTAATAAAAACAAAAATAAATCATTAGTTGAATATTTAACTACCACAAATAGGAGCTTTTTTTATGCAATCCTAGCTGTGTCTGCGATTACATCCGCATGAAATTTGTAGCTTATATGTCATTTCGATGTATAAGCCATAATAGTGTAAAGTTTTATCAAAATCCCTTCAGTAGTTTTTGCGTGTAAGAGTAACAAACATCCACCCATACTCACAAACTTTCGCGTTTGTAATATTATTAAGATGGGTGGGAAAATAGCGCCTATATATATATGAACAGACATGTGACACTCTCAGCATTGTCATTCCAGAGTACTAAAACCTTTATCCCTTATGCTGTAATTTCACTGCTAATCTGCACCCCAAAACCGAAACACAAATTATAAAATTAAGCGTCTGAAATTGGTAAAACAGATGACTTTTTAGTCTACCTCAAGTAACTGAATATCAAAAGTGTAGCAAAAAATGATAACATATTGGATTTAATACATAGAGGTAGGTACCTCTCTACTCTGTGGGATTAAAATTATTTACAAAACTTACTTGCTTCAATATGCTTTAATTTTTTAGGACGATATATTTCCACACAGGAACTAATTTTAAAAAGCGGTCCTGTGCTTCCAGTACTCTTGATTGTTTCCTAAAAACAAAGACCAATGGGGAATTATATGCGGCTACCTGCGGCATTTCTTAGATAAATTTTGGGTAAAGACTATTCCATGTGTCATTTAGAATATGATTTACATATCTGTAGTATGGCTGGTCATTAAATTGTTTTTAGTCATTTAACATAAGCTTATGGTCACTGTATATGGTGATACTATATGGTCGTACTCAGAGGAAGAGAAGAGACAAGAGGGTATGAGGCATAATTCTCCACGAATGCGTTAAATATGTCATGCAATATTTTTTAGAAAAGCGTGACATGACCTGATCGTCTGATTTGCTCCCGCATCTCGGGGCCTGAAGCAAACCTGACTAGCTACAGCCATTACTGAATTCGTATCAATTCATTTATCTATACTAGTCGTCGCTCAGTGGCCGAAATTCCATAGATAATTAGTTTGCGTTATACATAAGTTTGAACTTTATTAAGGTAGTGACAATAGAACCTTAATAATGTTCTCCAATTTCAATATAGACTCTATTAATAAACAAAAGAGTATATATATATATATAAACCTAATGTTTTTTTAAAAAGTATTTTGTATTAAAAACAAATATTTGTATTCTGCATTCCTTCTTTATATAAACTATAATTGTGCGAAATTTAATACTCGTCCATCCGCGCAATTTTCGTTAAAAGCGATACTACAATAAAACGATATTACATAGTAATATCGTTTTATCTATCATTTTTAGTGTAGTAGCGAGTTACTGACAGTTATTCCCGTCCCAAACTGTATTTGAAAGTTAGAATACTTTTAGAAGACCTTCTCCCTTGGATAGTAAATTTAATGAACTCACATTGTAAGGCTTCAAATCCTTTACATCGATCTTAATTGTTGCTATGCACCTCAGCATCACTGCAGTGTTGTTAAAAGGTGCCCCAACAGCCAATTCTGCAATGAAAATATGTTTTTTATTTATTTTCTACAAGATACTTACTTTGACTACATTTACGTACAATTACTGCTGGCATAAACTAAAACAAAGACTAACTGCCTTCTTTATAAAACAAATGACCTTTTCATAGTGATATTATAAAACAAACACCTATTAAAATTATTTAGCTGATTGTAAGAAAAAAAAATGTTGGTTTGAAGATTAATACTGTAATAATTACTATTTGTACGGAAACAATATATGTATGCTGTATAATACTACGACAATAATGCATTAGTATATATACGTAAATAGTAAAATTCTATTATGGAAACGTCATTTTAAGCTTTAAAACTAATTTGTTAAAATAAAAGTTTCCTATTAAACAAATGAACATTACAGGTGGTAACATTATTTGAAAATTTGACATATAAACCTGTCAATTTAGTCTCTGGGATTAAAAAACAAACTATAACCAAGTATGGCACTTACAAACTTTCCTAAGCTATTTGGAGTCCCTGTCGCTCCGCGCCCCACACGTTTGTGGGGGCTTGACCCCAGAGTGGGGGCATAGCAAATGGCTAACGCGGGGCGAGGGAAGGTTGAAAGGAAGAGGAAATGGATAGGAAAATGAGGAAGATGGGGAAAACGACGGTGGTGGGCCACGTCGTTGTACTAAAAGAATAACAGAATGTCACCCCTCCCTAGGACCTCAGCAAGTCCCTGGAAGTTGCGCGGACTAAATAAAAAAAATCTTCTGTCCCCCAAGTATGGCACAACGTATAGTAAACTTTAAGTAGTTTTTCTAGTTTTAGTAGGCTTTAATCTAGTTACCCGGGGGTTATCGTCCCCGGAGTAGGGGTTCGCCTCGAGGCCCCAACCTTTACCTCCCTAGGGGGGTGCGGAAGACCAGATAGTATAGACTATAACCATAACCATAAAGTTAGAAGTTTTAGTTCAAATGTCATTGTCATTTAGTTTTGCATAGTGATTTACTTTGTTTGGATTACACACATTATGCCGAAAATTGTAAGTATTTCATAAAATATTTAGTTGGTCATGTCTCTGTCTTTGTTTGATGATACCTGTATCATTTTGTTAACAGCCGAATCTCCAAGCATTTGGTAAACATTATCACAATTGTGGAAAGTGGATGCAGCGAAAGGCTCTTCGTAAAGATGGTGAGTAGTATTTTAGTAGGTCTGTATGTAGACAGATTGTGTTTTTAAGTGAATTTTGTTCTATGTTTTCTTCTTAAAGTGAATAAAATAAGAACTAATTTATTTTCAGTTGGAAATTCCAGTTGGAAGTATTAGAAGCAATTGGTTTTAAATATCTGCCAAAGTAAAGAGTGCCTAAAACAAAGAGGTTTACAGAGAATAAACCTTAAAAGTTATATGTTTTGTTAATTTATTTTGAATGTTGATATAGCAAGGCGTAGCCTTGTTTGCCTTTAATATTCCTTGAGAACCGATGACTACAGTAATACCTACCCACATTTCACCCGAGCGAAGCCGGGTTTTCATCTAGTACATTAATAATGCACATAAACTACAATCAGATAAATACAAACAATCATCATCATGAATACTAATGTTTGCACCGTAGAAACGAACCCGAAAAAAACGAAAGTAGGGTTTTTTAATCAGCTAGACCACCGACGGCATTACCATTTACTTTTATATGTTTTGAAGTAATTCAAACAATGAATTACTTCAAAACATATACCGTAGTTAGTGACCGCACATTGCGATGTAATATATTATTCTCCATATCATTCTTCACAGTATGTAGAATTTTCGTCTTTACGTGGTTCCTATATCATTTTCTCTCAATTTTCTTCATGCGTCACATTAAAAGAAGTTTGTCAATAATATTTCCTCAGAAGGTCAGATGCAGAAGCAGGACCTAGCTATTAAATGTAGTGAACTACATACAATTAATCAATATTTAGTCTGTTTGGATATAACTATTTTAAGAATGCTTCTCTATTCTAAGTATACAATATAATAAAAGCGAGCACAAGAAATTTATACTACCAGATTACAACCTAACCCACGTTTCGTGCATTCTTTCTTCGTACCTACGCGAGGCGAGGTATCGCAAACTTGATAGTTAGATGTCTGTAAAACATACCGTTACAATCATTTTCGTCGTAATCATTGATGACTGATAGACTCAAGCCAAATGCTAGAAAACTCTCCGGTTGTATACGTTGTAGCCAGGTCAATTCCTTTGGCGATTTGGTGATTAAGTGCAACCCTGAGTATATGTACACTGCACCACGACCATCGTCTTCATAGGGCGCTGATATTGCTATCTCTGAAAAAACGGAACGTTATAACAAATGTACTGGACAATTTGCGTCATCAATCAAATCAAATCAAAGCGCCATCTAATCCCGAGCAACGTAGATCTTGTATTATACAACTGAAAGACATACTTAAATGTATATTTTTTGGTAAATATATACATATTATATACAGAAAACACCCAGAGTAACAAATAATTATGGTCAGGGATTGAACAGTCAGTGGTGGTAGGTATCGGACCGGTAGATGTCGTTACGTAGGGATCAACCTAAAAATCTCCTATTGTATTCGTACTTAAATTAATTTAAGGTCAATAAGGCATTAATGTGTGTTAATTTTCTAATATTTATTTGTAATATTAATCTACCTCTATTCATCCATGCTATTCATGCGCCACCTACCACTTTTATTGTTTTTCTCTACGTAAAGGTGGTCTGGATGAGATTGCTTCTTGCGATAAGATCGCCTTTTGTATATCTATATCTCTTTTTTGTTTATTCTAGTTTGAAATGCTTGGTGCAATGAAGAGTTTATAATAAAAGAAAGGCTTACCATCTTTTAAATCTCGGTTCAAGTCTCCAAGATTAGCAATTGCATATCCGAAATAGCCTCCATCCTTTTTAGCGTATATAGTGGATCTTAGTTCCATTGTTATCTAAAATTGGAAATTTTCTGTAAGTTATTTATAGTGTTTTGTGTTGTTTTCCTCGATGTTTATAACTATATTTAACGCTATAAATTTAATATACACATAGGGTTTATCGCGATTTTGTATGCGTGGGCCATTAAGTTAAAAATCCTCAGGGGTCATTCCAAAATTCCTTTCAAAGCAAATGCTTAAAGGGATTTTTGTCCTTTGATTGCAGCTTGTTTTAATTGCAGGGGCTGAGAAAACTGAATGCGGTAACACTCTGTAGAAACCAAAGTCACCTCCGACTTACTGATCCTAGTAGTAAAACCATTATGATTATCCAAATTTCAACTGTCCTGACTTAGCGATAAGCCCACTACTATATTGTGTTATAATTAATTACGTCTTCAATTCACGTCTGATAAAGTTCTCGAGCAATATCCCTCCGCGAATTTAGTGATACTTGGAGACTTTAATGCCCATCATACCGAGTGGCTCCGTTCTCGAATCACTGACCATGCGGGGAGAACTGCTCATGAGTTTGCCCTGGCCTATGGATTCTCACAACTGATTTATTCTCCAACGAGAATACCAGATATCGAGACCCATACGAGCTCCTTACTGGACCTTCTGCTGACTACAGGTCTGGACGAATATTCAGTCACCGTGGAAGCGCCTCTTGGTTCTTCGGATCACTGTCTTAGTCGATCCCAAGTACAGTGCACACAACCTGCCACACACCGAACACCTGGTCGACGTCGCATGTGGCATTATAAGTCAGCAGATTGAGACAGATTGCGAGAATTTTTCGCGCCTCTTCGCGCTTTCATACTCCTCTGGGCAATTTCCGTCGTCCGGGAAGACCACCCTTGTGCACCCTGTGCCAAAAAAGGGCGACAGGTCAAATCCATCGAACTACAGGCCTATAGCTATCGCATCTTTGTTCTCCAAGGTGATGGAACGTGTAACTGTAACTGGTGATCTTTTAGTGTATCTTACACACCGCTGGGATCATTACCATCGAGAGCAAAGGTGAGGCGTTGGCAGTCAGCCTTGATATGTAAGTGAGTAAAATATTACCGCTATTTAAATCTGGTGACAAAGACAATAATCAAATTTTAGACCTATCTCAATTTTACCAGTATTTAGTAAGATTTTTGAAAAGATACTACTTACACAAATGTTAGCTCATTTTAATACACATGATTTATTTCATAAACAGCAATTCGGATTTATGAGTGGACGGTCTACTACTTATGCAGGCATTAACTTAATACAAAGTATTTTCGGTGCCTGGGAAGATTCACAGAAGACACCAATGTGTCTTCTGTGATCTCTCTAAAGCGTTTGATTGCGTTGACCATAGGATATTATTACGCAAACTAGAACATTATGGAATTAGGGAAAAGTCCTCAGAACTCATTGGATCATATTTGCGCGATAGAATTCAAGTGGTAGACATTAAAGGAAGCAAGTCAAGTCCATAAAAATGTTTCTTGTTTACATAAATGACTTACCATACCAGTTTCAAAACATACTTGACATAGTATTGTTTGCTGATGACACATCACTTATTTTCAAAGTGAAAAGAAATACAAAGGATTTTAATACTATAAATATTGCTCTTGAGGATGTTCTAAACTGGTTTACATCAAATAACCTAGCGCTTAATTCAATGAAAACAAAATGCGTTAAATTCTCTATACCAAATGTAAAACAAGTAACGACAACTGTTAGTATGAATCATCATGTTTTGGACTTTGTTGATGAGACTTCGTTTCTTGGTATTGTAATAGATAATAAATTGCAGTGGGGTCCACATATATTCACACTAGCCAAAGACTAAGCTCGGCTGCTTTTGCTATCAGAAAAATTAGACAGTTGACTGATACTGGAACAGCGAAACTAGTGTATTTTAGTTACTTCCATAGTATAATGTCGTATGGTATATTGTGGGGAAGAGCAGCTGATGTAGAATCAATTTTTATATTACAAAAAAGTGCAATTTGTTCAATATATAATTTACCGTGTCGCGTATTTCTTAGAGAACGCTTTAAAGAAACAGGTATCCTTACTGTTCCCTCTCAATATATAAATGAAAGTATATATGCAAAAACTTAAATTTATTTCCAAAAAATAGTCACTTACACGCTTATAATACAAGAAATAAAAATAAATTAAATATGCCTAGTTATCGTCTCAAAAAAGTAAGTACATCTTTCATGGGACATTGTATACGTTTTTATAATAAATTGCCAGATAGTGTTTTAAATTTAAGTGAAGCCAAATTTAAGATGCATGTAAAAAAACACTTTGCTCTAAAGCTTATTATAAAATAAACGACTACTTAAATGACTACAATGTGTGGACTTAATTACAATTTTAACTTTTGTTATGAGGCATATAATTTTTCCCATTGACATGGATAATGTAATAACATTAAAGAAACTTATTATAAATTTTGTAATGACATATTGTAAATTAAATAATGTAAATTTAATATTGTAATGGGTGAAAACTGTGATCGGTACAGCCTATGCTGTAAATAATATAATTGACGTAGTGGAGTAACCTGAAACAGTCATGCTCGCTATAAAGTTCAAACTTGTGGCGGCGTGGTGGGGCGGGTCGATGTGCTCCCTCAAATATGGTTGAGTACAATGATGGCTGGCTCATACGTCATACTCGTGAACGGGTGCTGCTTGTGGGGACTGGTCTGTCCAGGTTGTGAACACTGATTAAATTTTTTGTTCTTTGCGATAGCATATGCTGGTGTTCACTCTATTCTCCTAAATTTGAATTTTAATAACTGTATTTATCATAAACATGTTCCACTATTATTTGAAAAAAATACGAGCTGAGTTTCTTGTCAGTTCTTCTCATCTCGATATCATTCCGAACTGACGGTAGATTTGACATATCATAAGAGTCTGTAATAGACCTACATGAATAAAGATATTTTGAATTTGAATTTATGGCGAAGGCATTCGATCGGATTTGGTATCAAGGTATTCTATCGAAATTACCATCATACGGAATACCAGATTATGCAAATACGTCGCTAGTTTTTTGTCTGGGAGATGAATCAAAACCGTGGTCGACGGTAGTTGCTCCGATAGCATGGACATTAACGCAGGCGTCCCGCAAGGCTATTAATGATTTGTTAACTACGGTTGATATTATTGCTATGCGGATGACAGTACTGAGGACGCATTTTACACGGGCCGTGCGAACATTTCTCTTTCCGTTGTAGAGTCAAACCCCGAACAGCTTGTGTCTGAAATCGAGAGTACTCTCACCAGAGTCTCCGATTGGGGGCGATTGAACTTAGTTCAATTCAACCCTATTAAGACACAAGCCTGTGCGTTCACCGCCAAGAAAATTCCTTTTGCTGTGACTCCGCAATTCCAGAACACGTCCATTACCATCTCTAAGAGCATTGGGATTCTTGGTGTCGACATCTCCAGCACAGTTAAGTTCCGTAGTCACCTCGAAGAAAAGGTCAAACTGGCATCTAAAAAGCTCGGTGTGCTGAATAGAGCGAGGCGGTACTTCACTGCGGACCAGAGACTTCTCTTATATAAGTCGCAAGTTCGGCCACACATGGAGTACTGCTCTCATCTTTGGGCAGGAGCACCTGGATACCAGCTCGGTCCTTTTGACTCGGTTCAGAGACGTGCTATGAGAATTGTCGATGATCCCAATCTCTCAAACGGTATCGAACCACTTAGCTTGAGGCGAGACTACGCATTGCTTTGTGTGTTGTGTACCAAATATACATCGGACTGTTTTCTGATGAATTGTTTGACATGATGCCTACCTCTTACCGTCGGACCGCTCGATATCGACAGGGAATTCATCCCCACACGCTGGAACCTAAGTGGTCTCGGACAGTGCGGTTTCAGAAGAGCTTCCTCCCGCGTACACTTATATTGTGGAATGAACTACCTGCCGAGGTTTTCTCGAGATACTACAGCATGGGGTTTTTCAAGAAGGGTATATTAAGGTTTTTTAAGGGTCGCCAACGCGTATGTGACACCCCTGGTATTTCAGGCGTCCATAGGCTACGGTAACCGTTTACCATCAGATGGGCCGTATGCTTGTATGCCACCTAAGTGGTATAAAAAAACATTTTTAATGTAATGGTTACTTACTTTTTTCCGGTCTTCTTTGAACGTATATATGTATACAGCGCCGACGTCGTACTGATGCTCAGTTGCATATGCAGGAGCACCTACCAGCAGCGCAGCTCTGGTACTCTCCAAGCGTGCAGAGCATAACGAGGCACCGAATAGCATCCCCACTCGTTTTACTTGTTGATAAGTGACAAAGTTTTTACCATTGTGAGCTAGTATCTGAAACAATGAGATCTTTGCAAGGACACAAGTGAAGAATATTCTAAACTTTTATTCGGTGAAGGGAAAATTATAGTCTTATTATGTTTCATGGTATCGGTGGTCTAGTGGTTCACACCGTCTTACTTCAGATGGTCGCGGGTTCGATTACTCGCATGATACAAACATTTGTGTTCATGAGTTCATTTTAAATTAAGTTTATAGTAATTATGAGTGTCGTGTGTACAAGCATCTTATGAATAAATACCATTTCATTTCATTTCAGAATATTTACTGCACGACAAATCGAAAAGGACCGAGGTTATTTTTCTTTCCAGTTCAATAAAGTATATACCTGAATGTAGACGAATCTTTTTTTTTTATACACAGGGGACAAATGAGCATGCGGCTCACCTGATAGTAAGTGATTACCGCCGCCCATGAGCACCCGCAACACCAGGGGAATTGCAAGTTGTCGCTGTCGGCCTTTTAAAAAGGAATAAGCTCTTTTTTTTTTATAAAATACTATTCTTAAAAATGGCTATTATGATGACGATTATCATTACACAGAATTAGTCTTATTCAGGTAACAATCTGAATGCTAGTGATAATATAATAATAATAATAATCTCAGGACAATACACACAGCGCCATCTAGACCCGAGTTAAGCTATCTAAAGCTTGTGTTACGGTTACTAGATAACTGATACAAGTACATAGATATTTTTTTTCGTAAATACATACATAATATACATAGAAAACACCCAGACCGATACAAACAATCATACTCATGAATACAAATGTTTGTGCCGTGCGAGGAATCGAACCCGCGACCATCGGACGTAAAGCGGTGTGCTAGACCGCTAGACCACCGAGGTCGTCGAATCTCTTTTCTTGAAGGTTTCAATATCGTATCGATTCGGAAATACCATAGGAAGGTGTTTCTACAATGTGGTTGTGCTTGGCAAAAAGTTTCTAGAAAACCGCACTGTGGAGGACCGCCATTCATCCAGATGATCAGGATGGTATTTTAGTTTCTGCCGGGTGGTAAGGTGGTGAAACTCAGTAGCTGGTATTAATCCGAACAATTCCTCAGATCACTCCCCGTGATATATATATGCGGTACAAAATGCACAGAGACGCAATATCTCGCCGCAGAGCCAATGGGTCGAGTCTGTCAAATAGCCGTTGGTTACCAATGATTCTGGCTGAATCTCTGAAGGAAGATGAAAAACGTACCTGTCCATATCCAATTAGACCATATGGCGTGCTAAATACAAATGTTGTAGCATCGTCACTTAAAAAATGTCCGGCTGCGACACTATAACCTGAAATAAGGTTTTGATCAGGACTGTTACTGTTGATTAACCATGTCGTGGACTCTAAACAACACATTCTCGAGGTTCTTGCCCTCCTGGTTTAAAAATAGCATTTTATTATTTTTAGATTAAGGGATAGTATATAATTAGGTATATGTATATAGTCATGCATTGTAGGCGTATAAGTATATATTATTATATACAGTGAAACCTGGTTAATTGGGATCTTAAAGGACCAAAAATTATGAACCAGTTAATTACAAAAAAAGTATATAATTAATTATTGTAAATAAATATCTAAGTATTTATATCAGTTGTTAGTACCCATAACACAAGCTTTGCTTACAGTGGGACTAGATGGCGCTGATAATTGTCCATGGTTATTAATTATTTATTTAATCATTATATAGTAGCCCAGAATGGCAATGCATGAGATGTACCACGGGCATCGCAAAATCATGTTTGTGCTGCTGTTAATGAATAGGCGACGGTTACCACTTACCATTAGGTGGGCCGTCAGCTTCTTGATAACAATTACATAAAAAAGTGAATGAGCAAGAAAAAACTTAGCTTACCAAGATTATACCGCAACTCAGTAACGGTTTTAGTGATCAAACTACCCTTTTTACCGTTATCTATATCCGAGAAATAAAGAACTCGACCTGTTAAATATTTTGAACATATTAGTAAAACAAATATTTATTGTAATGTAAGGAGCCCGCGACTGTATATATATAACTGTAGTATTTAGAATAATAATAGTTTATAACGTTATTGCTCGTAAACCAATTTGGTATAAAAAATTATCACAATAGGTAGGTGTAAAATGCATCGTATGGATGCTTCAATCGTTTCGGAGAATATCGCTTATAGGACACAGACAAAAACAAAAACTGTTCTAGTAATAAATACATTGATAAAATACACCAATAGTTGATCACATACATATATCTTCCTTGGACTCTGTTCAGCCAGTGATTAGTTACATTTTTTACACTTTGTGTTTTTTACGTTTTGTGCCTAAATGATTACTTGAATGACAAGTGGGCATGGTTATATCATGTACGGGATTTTCACGTGAATGTTAAAAATATACTCCTACATCACTATAACTATGGATACATATATAAAACTGACATAGTTAACGTAGTTACATTATAACATAGTGTTCCGTATTCCGAACCTCAGTCTAAGCAGGTTGTATCACCGGCTTGCTTACTGAAGCAAAGGGCGCTCGGTAATACTGGCCACATATAAAAACATGTGGCCACTTAAATTTCAAAAAAAGAATATTAAAACAATTGAAAATAAGAACTGGAATTAAAAGGACGCTCCGTATTTTTATCTATAGAAAACAAGATAATTAAGGAATTATTTAACACAATATAATTGTTTTTGATGAAAATATACACTCTTAGAGTGCGTGGCCACTAAACAGTACTGCACATCGGGACGTTCCTGAGCAAAGGTGAGTAAGTTTGGTGTTACATTGCTTACTTTGGGGTGTTCGGAGTGTGGAAGACGTTCGTCGAAATCGTATTTTTACTTCCTTTTCCATTAATTATTTTCTTTTCAATAAATACAGTCCACTCTCTCTTTTATATATTAATTTATAAGGATTCGTAATCCAACACATAGTATAATCCAATATACCTTCCTATACTTACATCTTAAATTCAAGAGGAAGGTATAATACATAATATTGTAAAGAAACACTGATAAATTTAGAGGTTTCTAATGTGATGTCGTAAATAAACACATTTTTTTTGCGATTGCAACAAAAAGATAAATAATGTATTGTACCCTTGAAAAGGTATATGTATATATCTATCTCTTAAGGATAACCCACAATAACCATTTTTTATCCTTTACATTTTACGGGCAAAATTGGCTTATGGATTTGATTTTAACAATACAGTATTAATTTTTATCCAATCAAGTACCTTAAATATTATACATTGTCCATTTATCAATACGGCCCTTTACAGCATGTAATTTAAAATAATATTTCCGAAGATATTACAGAATAAAATGCAAGGATATAACTCAATTATATTGTGTTGCTTTTTCAAGAGTGACCTCTAATCAAAACATGTTTGTACTCTACAAAAAAGTATAAACTGTAAACGTTCTTTATCAGGACATTCTGTAGTAGGTAGGTATATTTAGTATCTGCATTGCACCTAAGTAATAGATAATGCAAATAAACTAGCTTTTAAAAAAAAGATATTCAGTTGAGTTTATTGTCAGTTTTTCTCACTTTAATCTGTATACTACTATTGAATTTTACGGTAGGGAAAAAATATTAATACAAAATTATACGGTTTAATAAATGATTTTTGATTTCATTTTATTTATACAAAATCGGCTACCCAGACAGGCGGTTTTGTACATCGGTGTTGCACCTATTTTGTACTAGCCCATTGAAATAAACAATCTCTCAGTATTGTTACTTCGATTATATTAGTGGTAGTATTAACGCCATTTTTTTAATTATTATTGAAATATTTACAGGCAATACTACTTACAGCCGAACGTGTGACGTCACCAACAAACTATTATGCTTACCATTCTTGCCTGCAGGATCTCCCATTACTATTTTTTGGCCATCGACAGCAATGCTCCATCCAAACGATGTCTGCATACGTTCTATGATCACAGAGTCAATTATTAAATGTAATATTTATTGTTTCGACATGGCCTCAGTGGTCTAGCGGTTTAGCTTTACGTCCGATAGTTGCGGGTTCGATTCCTCGCACGTTACAAACATTTGTATTCATGAGTATGATTGTATGTATCGGTTGGGGAGATTTTCTATGTAAGTAATTACAAACAAGATAACCTTAACAATAAATGAATAAAAATAATAATAATTACGTATCATATAAATTCTACTACGTTATCAATCCTTGTTCCATACAAATTGGAATCGAAATTACAACCAGACACAAGCAGAGGTCTGAGCGTACTACACCTGCCTTCAGAGTAAGTTCATATCCGACAGACAGGAGATTTTTTTTTATATTACTACGGTGGTAAAAGTTACCCTAACCTAACGATGCCTGAAATGACTGATATATATGTGCCAAGAAAGTAGAAAAACCTGTGTCACAGATTACAACTTTGCACTTTCACATTAGGCGATCTATAAGCTTCCCGATTGCCTGTGATTTTAGTGTTATGTATATAGTTTATACAAAACAAGTGAAAAAATTATTTAGAATGGAAAAATATCTCGGTCTAAGGGCGTACGTATTCTTTTGTACAAATCAGGTTAAAGAATTTATCGATGAGTCCATCGTGAAATTATGTACTACACTACGATTCTAAAACCTAGCGACAGCAGTGCGCCTGCAGCGCTGCACAACCGCTGCCACCGCGCGGCTCTTTGCGGCAAATATAAAGGCGCCCTGAGATATAGTAAACCCCCAGCTTTGGCATAGGCGCTTGTAGGTAGTTTTTATTGCTAGCAATGTACCATGTCAGGTTGACCTCCGCGCTCCTAGAATGAGAAATTCCTAGTGGATTTGTGTGTTGTGATGTGTGATATAATAAATGTTAGTCTATTATGATTCCATTTAACTTATTCCGAAATTTAACAATCAGAGTTAAACTGTGTGTCATGTGTATACTCTCAGAAAGAAAAATCAATTCATAATCATAATAAAAAATATGGGTACAAATTAGTTCGTATAATATAATACTTAGAACACCATATCTGACTCAGTAGGCATGAAGATATATTTACTGTATATATACATAAGTTATACACTAATAAAAGTACTACAGTACAGTGGTATGATTAAATAACAATTAATACTTACCAGGAATAACTTTATCAGGCTTATAATATTCGTCAGGAATATTTGGGATACGATCGGTTAGGTTTGCGAAAGTAAAGTTTTCAGCGGTACTGGAATACTTGTAACAGTGACTTCTTGTTCCACTTTCTAAAGAAATACATAAATATTTTGTCAAATTTAGTTAAGATTACGTTTAACAATTGGGAATATATTATTATTAGGCGACCCGCGCAACTTCGTCTGCATCACACTAACTTGAAATTCATCATTATATTTCGCACAATTTACACAATATATTTTTAAAATATAGCCTATATATTATTCTGATATACAGCTATATTACTGTAAAGTTTCATAAAAATCTGTTAAGTAGTTATTGCTTGGAAGGGAAACAAACATCCATCCATACTCACTAACTTTCGCGTTTATAAATTAGTAAGATGTATCATATATTCAGAGAAACAATTGGGGCTACTCTATAACACGGGTTATATTGTCAGAATAATTTGTGTTGAAACAATGTTGAATAATGGCCTCAAGATATTTATATCTGTACAATAAAAAAAAACTTACTATGTATTATAAAGTACAAAAGTCGTGGTGCACACGTCTGTAAAAAAAATATCTGGATTAATTGAAACACGAAATATAAAAACAGAAATTCTCAAAAAAGAATTCACCAATATTAAAACAGTTTTTAAGCTGCCGATAGCAATGTCATAAGTGAGTAAATTAATTAACACGCAAATAGCATCGTTTATATCGATGTCAAATATTGCATCGCAATCTTCTTTATCCCTCATATCTATCTTACATCCAAGTATCTAAATCTCTCTACAATCTTTTAAACATTTTTGACTGCCTAGAACTGCAGTAAGTTCTATACTAGAACGTGTATCTAAATTAGCACTAGTAGCCGCTTACGAGATTTAACTGGGCAGGGAGAGAAATACGTACTACGTGAACACTTAACACTTAACTTAACTTAACTTCACTTTTTTTAGTCGGTCAATGGGACAACCCTTATCACTTTAGGGGTGTGAAAAATTTCATAAAAATCGGTCATGCCGTTTGGGAGGAGTATGGTGACTAACATTGTGACACGAGAATTTTATTTATAAGATATATATATATGTACACATATGGGTTATTGAGAATACTATTGCAGAGGCCGATAGCGTTTCCAATAGAAGGTATCAATTCTCGTCTTTTTGTTTCGTTCCTTTTACATTTCATAATAACATTTTTTCCACATACCCTATAATTTGGAGTAATAAATTTTGGGAATAAGATATGAGGATGAATAAAATTTACCGTAAAAAAATCATTTCCTGCTTTTACTGTTGCGCCAAACCAAGGGCGGGGTAACGAGTCATCTGAAATACGAATATATTATTAATAATTCGTATACCAATATATTATTAACCTTAGTAATATTACTTTATTAATAGATTATCTCGCATTTGATTTCATTTACTTTCATGTACCTACTTTCATGCTCTTTCTTATGTGCCCAACTCTAGCTGTTATGCGTAGTGACCACTATGGAGTCACTTTGAATACCTTTAGCTACAAAGAAATCTTTTTCTGGGCAATAATTGAGGCCATTTTTACCATCACCATAAAAAAAACGTCGGATACGTATGAAAAGCATTGTAAAGTCCCATAGGGTGTAGGTGTTTTATCATCTATGCCAGATATACATATTTCTATATTCGAAAAATTTAAACATGTAATACGGGTAGAGTTCCTTAGAGCGCTATAATTGGTTAGCATTTAGCATTAAGTTATCAACATTATTTCTAATCTTTACTCTAGTTTCTTTTATCTTCGTAACTATAGAACATTTTTGTACAATAATATAATTAAAATAAGGACAAGTGGAGCTTCATCTTAACATCTTAGATATACAGTATCAAATCAGCAAAGAAAAGTTCATATTTAACACTCACTATACCATGGGAAACAAATACAATTAAAAATCATGCAATCGAAACAATCTAATATTACGAACTAATGAACGAAATAACCAAAAATGTTTGTTTAATGGATTGACTTACATCTGGTCGAGGTGTCAGAGGTATACCAGCGAAATCTCTGTATAAATCTCTAAAAGAGCAAGAGAAAAACACGAGTGGTGAAAGTGAGCGTAAACGTAAATTGGCAGAGCGGCTCCTTAAACCTCACACACCTTTCACAAATCCCAGAAACTGCACGGAGTTTTCCTCTCTATTACACGATGAACCCGACGCTAATATGGTGATCAGTAAATTCAGACGTACATGACGGTTACGTACCTACCGTCAATAATTTGGTATTTCACCTTAACTCAACTAATCACATACCCACAGAATCACTTAAAACAAAGTCGCTGTCGCTGTCTGTCCGTCCCTATGTATGCAACGAATTTTGAAGCGGTTTATTTAATAGATAAGAGTGATTCGAGAGGAAGGTTTATATGTATAATATTGTAGAGAAATACTGATAAATTTAGAGGCTTCTAATGTGATGTCGTCAATATACACATTTTTTTGCGCCTACATTGCAAACGTTGACCGAAATCTACGAGATAAATCAAAATAATGTGCTACACTATTGTACATCTTAAAAAGGTCAACAAAAAAAGTCCGTGATTGTATATGTCTATCTCTTAAGGATAACCCACAATAATCATTTTTTATTCTTTACATTTTACGGGAAAGAAATTGCTTATTTACGAAGTGATTTTAAGCAACACAGCATTAATTTTTATTCAATTAAGTACATTAAATATACATTTAAATATAATTAAACATTTAATGGTAAATAAAAAAAAAATGTAATATTTTATATTTGTCTACTTAGCATAAATTTAGCATATTTTAATTGTCAGTCATTGTTGTTTTTAATAATAAATAAATAATATAAAATAATAATGGAGTTTTTAGCGTTTGTTAATAAAATTGTAAATTTCCACTTACCTTGTTTAATATAATTCTGAATGAGATCACATTTATGGTTTTCAAGGTTACAGTTATATATATTTCCAAATTTTGGCTCGTTTGGTGCACTTACTATTAACCTGAAACGTTTAGTTATTGTTTAAGAACCTTTCTAACCACATATTATTTTTAAATATAACTTTATCCTCGGCACCACTAAAATAAGACAATTCACATAACGCCATCAAGTCCCAAATTAAACAGATCTTGAACTATAGTTAATACACTATCGTCAGAGAATGTACATGAAATAACACCCAGAAACTACAAACGTACGTGAACTCGTAAATACAAATAAATGTCCTTGTTGTACGAGCACCAAATCTTCGACAATCAAAATCAAAATATCTTTATTCATATACATAGGTCTATTACAGACTCTTATGATATGTCAAATCTACCATCGAAAGAAAGCGGTGTGCTAAACTGCTAGACCACCGAAGCTGTCAAGCTGGAGGTGCTTGTTACAATCATCAATTTAAATTGAAGAAAATTTAAATTTAATTTAGATCATACCGCAGTAGTTTAAACAATTCGTATAATATTATAAGAAAAAAAAGAGATTATTTGTTACATTTTGTCACCTTCATAGCTCAGCCTTTAAGAAACAACAACGGGCAGATTTTGGGATAAAAAAAAACATAGTGAAGTTACACAAATCGCTATGAGTAAAAACTAGTAGCGATATAATTTTACGCATACAGAAAGCAATGACTTGGTCTCTGAAATTTGGATTGTGAAGAATTTTGATATTTTCTTATTCACTACTCCTTCCCCACTTTAATAGCTCCTTAACAAAACTATGGTATTTCAGTTTTTCGTAAATAAAATTATTCAATAATTACCTTTTATTTTTTGGCACGTAGGTAATGCTGTATCCGAAAAGACTTTCATTTGCTATTTTGGTGGGTGGGGTGAATATTTGCATAGACAGTTCATGATAGTAATCTGATCTAGACTCCACCTTTGGTAGCCATAATGTACTGATTAATGCTATTAAACACCAAAAACCTGAAATTCATTATATTTTCAATACACTTGCTCGTAAAATTCATTTTATTTCATCGGTTTCAGATATATATATATATAAATTCGCGTGAAGTTGTATTCCATAACCCCATTATTCGCTACTTTTTTTTTCTAATTTCGGACATACCTCCGCGCGGTGCTAGCAAAGGACCAGCGCGCTGTTTTAAAAAAAAATCGGACTACTCTAATGCTGTTGGCTGCAGCTGGCCTTTACAGCTTCACCGGACGGTAGCGGGCGAGTGCAGATGGCACTCCAAACTCGCGGAAGAACTTATGGAGCGGCTGAAGGCCAACTTCCGCCTGACGAATACGACTTTAGTCTGAGGGTACCGCTAGAGGTTCGAACCTCAGCTCAGATCGTCGTAATTTTGATCTCCGTTTGAATTGAACGGGGGATCAATAGGAAGGTTTAAAAAAGAGAAACGGTGGAAAAAGAACCCTATGCATCACAGTAAAATGAACAAAATATATTATTAATACAAAATATATAATTTTACGTTAAATCGACTTCACTTATTAAAACGAAAATCGAAGGTTTTTGACAATAAATAACTTATTAATTTAAAAATACTTATATTTATAATACATATTTCACTGTCATTGTGATTTACATTATATAATTATATGTAATGTATTATGTATAATATAGAAAATACTTACAGGTCATCATGAAATCAAACCGACACCAAACATAATAAACAATGGACTAATATATAAAATAATTATAGACGGACGTAAGTTGTATATACTTACATATATTATTATCTAGTATACAAGGAAAAACAGTTATGTTGAGGTTAAATGAAAATGACAAATTAATACTAATTTAACTAATGACATGATCTGAAGGTTGTTCAAATCCGTTACTAATTTAAAATAGTTGTAATTTTGCGTGTTCTAGAATAATTTATATATTTATTATGAGATAGAAATGAAAATTAAATATTTTCCTTTAATTTCAGACACAAAAAAATAGCCAATAACAATTTGTATGGAAATTCGTCATTCACGGATGAAGTCGCAGGCACGGCTAGTTTGTAATATTTTTTATTAGCCAGCCAGTTTATTAAGTAAAAAGAAAAAAATAAAACAATAAATAAACTTATGTTTTAACTGGGCTACAAAATATTATGCATTATTACTTATTTATGGAGAGGGTACCATTGGGTGACTCATATCTGTCACTTCTATTATTACTGTTTTTGTTTGTTAGTTTTGTTACCAATAAGCCACAGTATTTAAGGGGCATCGTCCATAAAAGAAGGCAGGTATATTCCTTTTACATAGCGATACAATGTATCTTCATACATATACATAGTGTTATTCGTTTTGGTTGATACCTTATTACGACTCACAAAAACTAGCCTCGTAGCAAGGCGGCCTCGCTTATGCGCAAGTCTAGAGGGAGAATTCCTGATAGTACCAGTGCGGAATTCAGAGAGACCTTATGAAGATATTGTAGATTGTATCATAAACGGAGATCTTTTATTTAAAAAAAAATTTGTTTATAAATCTATTAGAAGTGTAAGTGAAATAAAGAAAATTTTATTAATAATAATTATATTACTACTGAACGGATAGTGTAGCCCCTTAAATACAGTACTTATCAGTTACAAAACCAATACCTGTTCTGTAAGTTATTATTTAATAGTTATTTATAATACTGATTGGAATGCTTCATATATTACAAACAATTGCTATAATTATAATAATTATTTGTGTCAGGTTTTGTTGGATGGCCTCTGTGGTCCACCGGAACCGTCAAGCTTGCATAGTAAGCTGTGTTTCTGTTACTTTTTTATATGGATGATATCCATTATCATCGATAAAAAAAACACCCATGGTGCAGCCATCTGCGCTAACGGTTTACCCTGGAGGAGTGTAGTAAATAGTACCAGTGGAGGATGATAAGATGAGCATGAGGTAAGGTCAGTTGCTCAGCGTGACAAACTTACCAAGAATTTGTCGCGTTGGTTTCAAGGGTAACCGCGTGGAGGTTAACCTGGTACATTACTAACAATAAGATCATCAGCCCATATTACTAACAAACAATCCCCTTTCCCCCACTGTTTCGGTCAAAGGGATAGATTTGAAAGTGAATTTAGAAGAAAAGAGGTATATCACCTTATTAGGTACTCCGGAATGGTCATACATGCATTGGACCACACGTATCCTATGATAACGTAATGTGTTCAGGTATATAGGCGACGGTTACCGCTCACCATCACGCTGGCCGTCAGCTCGTTTGCCATTTGTTTTCTATACTAGACAGCGCAGTGTGAATTGTCACGGATTATTATTAGTATTATACAAAAAAAGTGTAATAATTATAATAACTACTGACAAAAATAAGCACAAAAATAATGATATGATATATATTTTAATAAATATTTGTTAAAATGCTAATGTTGGAATAACAATACATACTAAAAATAATAATCTTCCTTCCCGTTAGTCGCCTAAATACGTATGAACACGTTTTACAATGCAATAATATTATTGAGGAAAATATATTAAAGAAATAATACTTATATTCTGGTATATAATATACGGGTACTACATATTTGGTTTACTGTAGATATCAAATACATACATGATATAAAATCAAAAATCATATTAGTCATATATTAATCATACAGGACAAACTAGTCGTTTATGAACGTAAGTTTTTTGTGGGTATTAATATTTTTCCCTACCATCCAGTTAAGTATTCAATTGTATATATATTTTATATTGTATTCAATTGAGAAGAACTGGGAAGAAACTCAATAGTTTTTTTAAAGCCAGTTTATTTACATTGTATAATTATATTATGTCTACGTTAGACATAAAACATTAAACTAAATTCCCGTGCATGTACAATTATTGCCATGCACGTTTGTCATTTAAGTACATAATTTTTTGGGCTCTAGGTAAATAGGCTTTACTCAATAAATATGATTTAACAGATGTTTAAAATCTATTTCAAGGTATATCCTTCATTATATTATTGTCAATTTTTCTACCCATTCCCAAATAGTACAATCCTTTGCCTTTCTCTAAATGATGCTTAGGAACAGCAAGTTTGCCTTTTATCTAGAATTAATATTATGAATACAGCTATCTTTTTGCAATAAGATTATTGTATCTACTCTTATATTGAGGACTAGCTGTTCCCGCAAATTCGTCCACATTGTGACGGTTCAACAATACCCATATTAAAAGTATATTAAAAATATTTAGTTAAAAAATTGTATTAGTTTTAAGACTTTATTTCATTAATTAAACATTGAATTAATTACTATAAACTAGATTATATGAGAAACAAAACAATTGTGAATAGAAACATCGTATTATTTAATAAATAAGATATATTAATTAATTTTACGTAAAAACAGTAAAAAACAAATATTAAATAAAAAATGTTTTAATCTTATTTCATAGAATTCATTACCTCAAAACGGTAGCTTTGATTTACGCACATTAACGTAGACCATTATTAAAACAGTCACATTATGCCACAATAGCCAATATGGGTGTTAAAAAAGATTAGTCGGGAGTGATCGTGAGGTGAGCAAGTGTTTAATTAATTATTTTATTAGTGGTTCCCGTCAAGCACCTCGGTAAGTGATTTAATTCTTTTACTTTAAATGAGGCGGTCTAAAAATATATTGAGAAGATAATATTTAGGATGCGTTGTTTCAGCTAAATTTATAATTGTAAATAATAGGATTATTAAACTCGGTTACATGTATGTTAGGTTGACTTATGGCCGTAATCCAAATCCTGTTTGATTGTTAGACATTAGAGTTATAATAAGAATGGAAAACCTCCATGGTTTGCTGGCTTGACGCACCCTGTTTCCTGAGGTCGTGCGTTCGATTTACATGCGCAGCGCATGTAAATTATTATGCAGATTATGTTTATCAATTACCACATGTGTATAATTTTAATTTTTTCTATTATTGTGTTATTGTGTGCATGTTAGTAGTATAAAATTATTTTCTCTAGGTTTTACATATGTTTATTTCCTTTTCTATAAATTGTGTGTTTTACTATGTGCTTAAATGTTCTGTAATTGTACATCATACAACGGGTAAAATATATATTAGGTTAATTGAATTTTTAACATTTGACGTACGTTATAGTCTCCAGAAATTCGTGTATCGGTTTATATTAATTTATTTGTTTCTTAGGCATATACGTTTATACAGGCGTTTAGTACTTTCTTGTTAGATGTTAAGGAATTTCCTCATGGTAGGACTTTTAACGATTATTCTATAATTCTATTATTTAATACGAGAATTCAGATGATAACAAACTTACTATAAACAAATAAAAGTAATCTAATGGAGATATTATATAATAGAACTTTCTTGCACTTGGGTAGCTATTAATAATTCAACTACTTGCTGACGGTAAATATTTCCCTTACTAAATTCATCTATTAATTTATTTCAAATATTTTATTACTCACACTGAATAACTAGCTTTGTATTGTTTCTTTGTTTGTGATAGTAATGCAAGGTTGCTATTCAAATAAATGGATATTGCCTGGTTGGTATTTAGTAACCCTTTGTTAAGTAATACTTTGTTTATATACATTGCACAAAAGATGTCGCATGGGGAAGTTCTTGGTTACTGAAGGCTTCACTAGAAGGAGGAAAATACTTGTATCGATGATTAAACTATTGAAGTAACATTTTCCAATAGTTTTTGATGATATATTATGATCCGTAAATCTCTATGGAAGCTTTAGTAAAGAAGTAGTATAAAGTTTGTAATAGTTGTGGAAGTTTTCATTAGGAGGAGAGAGAGGCTCAGATCGACGTTTAGTTGATAACTGTGTGGTTATCTAGATCTAACACCCTGAACTTTACTATATGTGCGTTGTATGTGTGGTGTATCAATATAGAGATATGTTGCTACCCTGGACATATGGCGTTATGTAGGTAAAGGTTTAGGACACATATCACATTTATTATATAACATAAATTATTACACTGCACAAAATATGTATATAATAGATGAATTAAACCGTAATCAATATTATCTATATTAATCAGCTGAAGCAGTAGCAATGCTGTTCAATATGACTCCCTTATAGATATAGAGATGTATGTTGCTTTCCGTAAATAGTGGAATTGCCATTTTATAATAGATATAGAATTATCGTATAAACATAAGATATGTAATTGTGAATATTGTAAGCCTTGGGGGGTTTATTAGTTGGATCTGGGAGTTTACCAGAAGTAGTGAAGATGAGTGTTAATGCATTCTAAAAGGGTCTTCTAAACCTACACCCGTGTTTCAAGTCTCGGGCACCACTTGTGGTTCTCTCCCTGAACCATCAGTGGCCAGTATGAGGGTCTAAATCCTCATCATAATTAGTGGGTTTAATAAACATATACATATAAAAGTATAATTGCTAATTAAACCGATATCTATCAATTTTTCTTGGACTTCCGTTCTTCTTTCGAGTTATGAATTAATATATTTATTATTATTCTATTTGTTCCAGTCAATTCTATAAAATAAAAGGTTTATTTTGAGGTCTTTGGCCTTAATAACAAATACTAATTACCTAGTGTATATGCTCTACTTAAGCATATTAGGACTCTTAGTCGTTTAATTTATATATACATATTGTATGTGTATATATACATAAATAAAATCACATCTGTAGGCTTCGGTTCTCAATCAATATATA